TTTTTTGGACTTTGGATCGATTGGCATTGACTTCCGGCTCGGAATCCCTAATTTCGCTAAAAGCCCAGGTTGATTGTTTCTTGTAAAAACCGTGTTTTAGAAAAATTTGCAGTCCTCGCAAGATTTCTAAAAAAAAGTAAAATCAGCGTCGTCCTGTCAGTTTACATGCGGGTTTTCCACAAAAGTCTGCAGTTTGCGTGGATTTTGGCCCTAATATTCCTGAATCCAATGCCTATATTAAAATACGAAAAGTGCTGGTTTTCCCGCCTTTCGAGCGCTCTCGATATATACCTAAATCGTCAAAACCGGGCAATTCTACGGCCCGCTATGGGCTAAACCCTCCAACTGTGCTTACCGGCTTCGTTCAGCTTGTCACGTACCGCCTGGTCGACAGGTAGTTTATCGGTTGAGTTGCCATCTGAAATTGAAAAACGTTACATAGCAGGCAATCCATGCTTGAGAAAATAATTTTAGCTAGCTCCAGTGCCGCAATTCGCATTGAGAAGCCTGCATCGGCGGGAGAAATGCAAATGTACCGGATGCGCCAAAAGATCTATTTTTGGTTGACCGCATTCCATACGACCGCCTTTCAATACGCCGCATGCCATTTCACCGCTTTTACATTTCATCGCATTTTCGACAGCATTTGCATTTACGGCGTTTTCAGAAGGCGATAAAATCTTTATTGGCTATAAGGTAAGAAATTGCGCGATAAGAAATGCCGCTGCTGTGTTAGGAATGAATACAGTTTTTTTTCGCGCTACAAAAGATGTCATACTGTACACCGAATCAGGGCCGTTGCCTGATAAACTGCGGCAAAATAAAAATGCGATGGAACGAAACAGCCGATTGCAGCAGCAATAGCCCATAGAAAATTTTCGGAATTCATCCGCACCTGTCCCCAACACAGGACGGTTTCAGTTTGAAAGCCAATTTGCGCGTATAACCTAAGCCCCCAAATTGTGCTTACCTGTTTCGTTCAGCTGGTCAGGTTCCGTCAGGTCGAAAAGTTGTTTAGCGGTTAATTGGCGACCTGCAATTGAAAAACGTTACATAGCAGGCGATCAATGCTTGAGAAAGCTCCAACCATTAGCATTGAAAAGCCTGCCGCGGCGGGAGAAATGCAAATATACCGGATGTGCCAAAAACATACATTTTTGGTTGACCGCATTCCATAACACTGCATTTCAATACGACGGCATTTTCGACAGCGTTTTCATTTCACCGCATTTTCATTTCGCGTATTTTCAAAAGGCACTAACGGCCTAATTGGTTATTGAGTCCGCACCTTTTTGTGGCACGGTTGTTTTAGAAATCAATAAAATTTATTTTTGCGCCACAAAAAATGTAGATATTAATGTAGTCATACTGTATATGCAATCAATGCCTTATCGCCTATAAAAATGCGGTAAGCTGAAAATGAGGTCTAATGAAAATGTGGTGAATTAAAAGGGCGATGAAGTGGAATGCGGTGAACTGAAATGCCGTGTTATGGAATGCGATGCAGTCCTAGGAATTTTCCAAAAACACCCCTCCGCCGGTTGCTCCGACCGCAATCGGTCCCAAAAATTATTCTACAGAGAGCGCCAAGTTTGGACAATACTCAGCTACAGTGCGAACGGTAAGATGGTTCTCCGGCAACCACAAAAGAATTCGACGGGGGACCATGTGGTCTTGGAGGCGTTTAATTTGAAGTATCTTCTTTTTTGAGGATTTAAACTAAGACACCCTTTCTTGAAATTAGATCATTTTTGCCTGAGAGATCATGCTTGCGTTTAATAATGGCTCAACGGCCCATCCCCACTTATTTAAAACCTCGACTGGAATACCTAATCTAAGTAAACCTTATGATACATATCGATTCGGTGTGGTGAAGAAACCAGAACGGACTTGTGAACGAATCAGCGGCTTTGACCACACCAGTAGATGGCGCGACAACGAATTGCAGGAGCAATAACCCATAGAAAATTTTTGGCGAAATCATTCACACCTGCCTCCAGCGATGGACGGGTTCACCATGGCGTGCGGCCATTTAAATTCACAGCCGATTTGCATTCACCCAAATAAAAAAATATTTTACAGGGCTGCTCCGTACAATTTTTACATGCGAATTCATCCAAATGTCTGTCCAAACGTCATAAATTTGTGATTTATTGCCATTTGCTCGGTGTTCGGTTTGGCGGTGGCATCGCGTGTTTTGGCAAAGCTCAAAGTTTTGGCTATCTGCAACGTTTATCACGAAATTGAGATGTTTCATATGGCTTAAACGAAATACCGCAAGATCGCGCCCCTCGCGCTCCATTGTGCCTCTATCAATTGGTCCAATTCTAGCCCAATTCTGGTGATTCTTTAATTTAATTCTGCATCATGTGGCAAGAATGAAAAATGACAGCTTACTCAGTTTTTGACGCGCTTTTGAATGGGCTAGGTCTCGTACAATATAAATAACTGGAATGCGATAAGTATGTTTTACTCTTACTTTACTTGTCTTTGCTAAATCTTTGCTAAATCGTGCCCACCTCTAAAACGTGGCCCAGGGTATCATACCGCCAAAAAGCCAATTTCTGGCTATTATTTTCAACGCCAGTAAGAACGTCTGCCTGTGAGTTTCTTGAGGGGTAATGCTTCCGAAAGATTTTATTTTTTTGTTTGTAACTGAATGCGTTAAGACATACGCGTTAGAGCCTTTGACCATCAAAGGCAAAATCAACCGTTCGCGAAGACTAGCTGTTGATTCATTGCAATGGTATATTCTTGACATATTTATCAAATGGTGGATGATATGGATGAAAAAGGGTGTCCTAAAAAATCGACCCGCTAGCGGTCCAGAGAAAGCTCGGATCGGGATGATTTTACACCATTCGAAAGCTCTTGAACCGGCGGGAGAAAAAGGGCTTTTTGTGTTACAAACCCCTTTAGCCCGCGCTCGATATTAAGCAATGTCTTAAAAAAGTGTAAAATCGTCCTGTTAACGTGAATGCGGATTTTCGACAAAATCTGAATTTTCACGGATTTTGTTTCCAAAATTTGTGAATTAAAATGTCTATATTGAAAAACGAAGAGCGCTTGATGTCTCCCCTTTCCGAGAGCTTTCGATAAAATCGGAGACTTCTGCGGCCCGCTAGATGGGGGTCGATTTTTTGGGACAACCCGTATGTCTGGTTTCAGCTAAAAGAAGAAGACGTAATAGATGACCCAACGCTCATCATAAACTTGCTCCGTATACGCGTGTCTTGCGTATCCGCCGTCTCCAATAACAGTGAGACCTTGACGCTCTCCCCCGTCACTTTTTGGCCATGCTTTCTGAAATGGCGGCGAAGGCTAAGCGTTTCCTTTATCAGGCCGTAAAATTTACTTTTCTCCTAGCTTTTGTCATGCAAATACGCATAAGCAAGCAAATACGCCGTTAGTTTTTCGCGATGGTGAAACGAAAAATCGGCGCAAATTTTGAGCTGAATTGGGCGCACATCGGCAAAATACATTAGACGCGTTCGAATTGCACCCTGTTATTGCTGTTTCGCGTGAACCTACCACGTAATACGCAGACATAAACTCATTGACGATGTCGAGCCGCAACAAGTCTCCCCATGATGGCTTCCGCCTAGAGCACAGCGTACATCTTACGAATATATACAAAAATACTGCCTGTATGCAAGTGCTACGATGAATTGGCTCGCGTTTGCCATAACTTTACTTGATAACCTATCTATGACTCAATTCTCAATCTACGACTTTTTAGGAAGTAGCAATCTACGCCTAGTTAGAGTAAGGTCCATTCCGATTAAAAGGTAAAAAAAGGTGAGCGGTTAAAGGGTCCCGGAAGATAAAATTCGCGCCTGGGGGATTGGATCTACGGGTCAAAAATGACAGGATCTCTGCTAAGAAGTGCCAGAAAAATGGTGTCGTTGCGAAGAACCGTTAAATATTTGGGTAAGGTCGAAACACTTTAGGAGCGAAACCACTTTTTGAGAGCGCGGCGATTACATGTCGTAATACCCTGTAAGGCACCCAACCTCTGGATATCGGCGATTCTCTGATCCATTCTCCTATTAAAAAGTCCGTAAGGATCAAAATTCGGTGAGCATTGCAGAAACAGTCTTAGAATTTTTAAATGTAAGCGTTTTTAGGTCGAAACGCATGGGCGCGGTCGCGTTGCGGTACGACTTGGTTATTTGCCAGAAATCAACACAGGGGACAGTGGACCAGATTTCGGAGCCCCTTTAAAGGATTGCAAAGGTATACGTAGCCGCGACGCGATTTGCCGAACCGGCTCCTCAAAAACCTTACAATTGAGCCCTCCAAAAAAGCTCATCTTGGGCAAATTTCGTGATGTCGGGAAGGCGTTCCTCGATTAGTGTGACGTTGCGCGTGGGGAATTTTTCTCGTTTTAAGAAGATGAAGAGGATGCACATGTCCTGCTCAGCGTTTACTTTCATATGCCAACAGAGTGCTCTCTCAAAAAAACTGTTGCACCGTGATTCTCCAACCAACCTCGAGGCATCCCCAGCCCCAAGCCATGTTGTGAGTGTGAACGCCATCTATACAGTAGAATATTTGCGCAAACCGTCGCCACCTGAAATTGATAGATACTTCCGGCCCATGCTAATTGTTCCCTAACAAAAGCGTGTCCGATCTTTTTCGAAAAACTTAATTTTAATATCGAAAATCGCATTTTTTTGACAAGTCTGATGTGTGAGGTCATCTCGTGATCATTACGCACCTAATGACGTATCATACATGCCTTAAAAATCGTCCCCGATCGATGTATTCCCCGGATATACCGACGGAGGCACCCTGCAAATGCCGACACACAGACACTATTTTTATATATAGTAGGATATTTATGGTCATTTCGTCTTGAATTTTATTTCGTCTGCCAACCCTTATATCGGACTTATATGCGTAATATTACTCTGCCCAAATTGGGTCTGAGCGCGAACGATCAGTCCGTGGTATGGTAAAACATTGGACTGAACCCCTCCCGGCCGATAACGGCGTCAAATGACGCACTCCTTGCTTGACGCGTCGATCCAGGTCTGTACGGATTCTTGCAGTTGTGGGCCTTGCTGCGGTTCTATCGTTCCGCCACTTCCATTTGCTATGCGCCAACGTTCGAGCGCTCCCTCGTATCGGAAGAGATCGCCTTGCACAGAGGCCCACTGAAAATGCATTGAAAAAGGTGCTCAGGATTGTTAACGCTGTATGCGTGGTTATGTTGCTATGTGAGCAGAGGGTCCGGATATAATATGAAATATATAAAATATATAAAAATATAATTTTACAAAAATACAATTTTCGCTATTAAATTTGGGTTTTTGTAAAAACCTCGGTCATCCTCTTTGTTTGGAAACATTTAGGCGCGAACCTGGTAACTAAATAAAAAGCTACAAAAATTGATCAACCGATCACTGTAGAACACACCTATGGTAAAAGATTCAAATGCGCACACAATGTGCTGAATTTTTAATTGCTAAACTTTTTAGTTTCACATGACTTCTCCCTGCTAAACTAAAGGGCCTTTCGTTCAAATAGCACTTACCTCCTCTTTGGTTAGCCTCCCGATGTCCACTGCGCCTGGTTCGTAATGATATGGTGGTTTCAAGGCACTCGCACTAGCCACTAAAAATCCTCCATGTATTCCGAGCATTTTCTATTTTGAGAAAAAGAAAAATGCATTTTCTCTGAGGATTCGCGGTGAAAGTATTCCTGGCGGTCGTACCTAGTAATCAAATATAAAGTGTTTTGACATTGCTGTTAGTAAGTTCTAACTATGTTTAAAGCAGTCAAACTTTTAAAAAAATTAGACAAATATTTTAAAAAATTCGAAAATTCGGTCATTTTGGGTCTTTCCCTCCCCCGCGAATCCTAAAGGTTCTATAGGATTTTGCGACCTAAAATTTAATTTGTTGATGAAAATTTGTGTAGTTTTTATAATTAGGAATAGTTAAAAACAATTTAGAAAGCGTCCATTATTTATAAAAAAACTTCGGCTTGAGCTGAAAAAAATTGTTCCCCCCCCCGCGGAATCCTAAAGAACGCAAATTTGTGTACGTATATTGTGGCAGACTACCCAATCGATCTTTAGCAGCATTGTTGAGGTCCTGGCGTACGGCCTGGTCGACAGGTAGTTGGCCGGCTGAAAGAGCATATGAAATTAGAGCTAGACTTTACTTTGCCCCCCTCCCCCTCCCGAACTAAAATTTTTGGAGCTTCTGGGGGCAGGTAAAGTATAGTCAAACCGAAATTAGAAAATATCGGTGCTGTCCAGTTAGGTACAAAATTTGCAGCAGCGTCACGCTAAAGTAACTAAGTGTCTGCAGAAGTGTCTGTTCAGAACGATCCTGGCGAAGAATTATTTGGACTCCCCTACTAATAGTAAGAGAAAAAACAAACCAGCGGATTCAGCCGCATTAAACATCGGCGCGTTTTGAAGAAATAATAGTGCATAAGCAATTTTTGAGGCCAACATTCCCACCTTCACCCAACCAAATGCGTCCTGACGGCTGCGTACGACATTTTGAATTCAGAGGCGATTTCCATTTACCCCAATAAATAAAAGATATATATGTGACGGGGCTCCGCCCGACAACTTTCACATATCAATACGATTATATATTTTTTGAATCACACATAAATTTTTCGCAATGGCAGCGGATGCCGCCGCGGCTCGCAATTTATGTCAACACCAGTCAAAAAAAAGCCGCTTCGCGGCTTTTTTTGCCTGGCCCTCCCGGGGGGCAAGGCAATACAGGGCGCTTCCCATTCTCTTTAGTAGATTTCCCGCTTGGCGCGGAGTCCTTCCGTGATCTACCTATGCACCTCCTCCAAAACCAAAGAACCTTCCACTCCTCCTATTCCCCCCTGAAAGAAACCCCCCAACATCCGTAGCTGATCCTAAACAAAAAGAGAAGGAAAGTCGAATGGTTAACGCACCTCCCAGAAGCAAAGCTATAACCTTCTTTAGGAATAAAAAAAACATAGAAGACCCTTGAAACAAAGTTGTACCCTTCTTCGAGACTAAAAAAACATCTAGGAAACGCGTAATGGCTAGAATACCCTTGAAAGAAAGTTCATTCCCTTCTTAGCTACTAAAAAAAACATCTAAGAAACGCGTAATGGCTAGAATACCCTTCAAAGAAAGTTATTTCCCCTTCTTTAATACTAAAAAACATCTAAGAATAGCGTGTATGGCTAGAATACCCTTTAAAACAAAGTCCTAAACCTTCTTTAATACTAAAAAGCAATAAAAACCGTTGCGAAACAATTACTCTTGTGTTTGGGGATTTCTGCTACCATTAATGCGCGAACGGCCCCTGTGACCTCTGACCCCTCCCCCTTTCCCCGGGACATGCCCTGGGGGCACGTTGACCTGGGGGCATAGTCTGGGGGCATGGGGGTCCCGCAGCGATCCGTACGGACGGTCGGGCGCACGGACATTAGCAATTTATATATAAGTGATATAAGTGATGTAGCGACCGTAGCATTCGGGGAATTGATGTTTGTGCCCAGAGCAAAAACGGGCTTTCACCAGACAATGCGGAGGGTCGAAACCCATTAAAGATTAAAAATCCGATTCACAGACCGACGGATTAAAAATTGATTTTTTCGACCTAAAATGACTAAATTTTTAACTTTTCCAAAAAATTTTGCACGTGTTAAAGTTTTTTTGCTTTAAATTAAAGGACCGTTAGATGGGGTGGTTTTTTTCTGGGTCTGTTTAAAAAATGTCTGTATATTCTTTCGTGTTTGTGATGTGTTGCTGCTGTCTCTGTCGTTTTGTGGTCCAGTTTGACAAGATTGACAAGATAATTTATACGCTGATATTAGCAACGTTCCGCTAGAAAAAGAAGAGGTAATGCGCCTCGTAAGGTTTATCGTGAAGAGTTGAAGCCACGACGTATCTTGCGTAATCGCCGCCTTCGGTAGCAGTATAGGTGCCTTTATGGACGTCGCGGTTCAAAAACTGCAAAAATCTCAAAGGACGTTAGAAAAGTAAACCTTCGGCGAACTAAATTTCGTTTTTCTATATGGGTTGCACTGGTAACGATTTGCATCATTTTTCTGCTGCGAATCTCTACTTTCATTTAATATCGGGGTGTACAAAAATTGTTAAAATCAGGGCTTGTCGTGGTTCCTTTAATATAACCATGGGGTTGGATTTTGTAAATCACCTTAGGGGAGGAGGTTGTATTAGAGGCGGATAGATTTTTTTTGGTTCTTTAGGATTCGCGGGGGACCAATTATAACAAAATCAATAATAATCAAATCAATTAATCTAATATAAAGTGTTTTACATTGTTTTTAGAAAGTTTTAAAATAATTTAAAGTAGAAAGACCTTCAAAAAATGTTAGAAAAATGTTCGAAAATCGAAAATTTCGTCATTTTTAGTCCTCCCCCGCGAATCCTAAGGTTTTATATTGCGACCTAAAATTAAATTTTATAATTCAAATTTGTTTAGTTTTTATGCTTAAAAACAGTTAAAAATAATTTAGAAACGCATCCGCTATTTATAAAAAAATTTAGACTTGTGCCGAAAAAGTTTGGTTCCCCCTCCGCGAATCCTCAAGAACCCGTTTTTGCATTCTTTACTTCTCAAAGAGAAGTTCGGAAAAATTTTTTTGTTGGTTATATTAGACGAAATACGGTAACCTCCTCGGTTGTGCTCTTGCTGCGCAACATTGGAGTTGCTGCCAGGTGGCTACGGTCTTGGTAGGACGAAAAATGAGCCATTTATAGTTACCAATCGACGTATGCCTACCACGAGATACGCAGGCATAAATTCGTCAATAATGTCGAGGAGCATCAAATAGTAACTATTCGGCTTTCGACTGAAACGTTGCATTATTCAGGCCGCCAGGAAAAAACTTGCTTTTCAAATTGCACCCAAATTTCGGCATTGGTCCTAGCCTTGATTCGTGGAATTTGTTCTTCCACGTATGTGACGTTGGGCGCAGGGTATTTTTCTCGCTTGAGAAATATGAAGAGAACGCATATGTCTTTCTCGTCGTTCTTCCTGACCTCCCAACACAGTGCCGGCTTCACTAAATTTCCAAGAGGTAGTCGGACTCAAACCTCCAAGCATCGCCAGCCATACATCAGCCCCTCTTCGCATTTGAACACTTGCGCATAACGCCGCCACCTGAACAGCATCAATCTAATCTTGCTCTATAGAAAAAATAGAGTCTGCGTGTGTGTGCCACATTGCATGCTACTTCCTTCAGGTGGGTCCAGTCCTGGCAGTTTAGGGGAAGGATCCTAGGGTATTTATGATACGTCATTAGGTGCTTAAAGGGGCTACGAAATGCCAAAAATTGAGTGACGGACCGGAAATCTGAGCCCTGTACCTCGGAGGCCTCTGTATAGCTAGGGGTGGGGGAAGCTCGCAAATTTGAAATTGCCTGTTGTCACCTCATAATCACGTTCTCGGCTGTTCCTGGGCCAAATTTTATGATTAAAACACCAAAATTATTTAAAATTGAGTGAGGATTTCAAAAATGGGTTCAGAATGCGCGAATTTTAGAGTTTTCACAAAGTAACCGGGCAAAAACAACTTCGCGCAAAAATCGAAAGAGTGAGGGCAAAGACCCGCAGCGCCCGCTGGCAATTCGCCAGAAATCAAAGAGGCCTCCCAAAAGGGCTTTGATTTTGGCAGTTCGGAGCTCCTTTAATAGTCTCGAGATAAGTGCACACATCAAAGTCTCAAAAAATAAGCTATTTTTTTCTATTAAACTTAAGTTGTTGGAAAAATCTCCGCACCTTCTTTGCTAGCAAAAAAAAACATATACGGGTAGCGGGGTCGCTTATATAAAGGGATGGTTTGTTTTTCATTTTTTGTCATCGGAATTCTCGAAAATTATACAAAGTGAAAAATATCATGAAAAAACGGGGCCAGGGATGCAAAGTCGCGAAGCTGGTTTTCAACCGTGGCTATAAATATAAATATATATAAACCGGTTGTTTGTGGTTATAAATATAAAAACAGCGCATGGGCACCTTGCGTATTTACATGGAACGGCCGCGTGTAAAGCTTCATGAGAAGGTTTTTTAAAGGGATCACGAAAACCCGGATCAGCAGAACGGGCCCAGAACTCTCACTAAAATTCCGAATTTTTTAGAGAACTTCAAAATGCAATTTTTAAACAGTTTGCAAGCCTCGGAGTCACCCGCTCTATCTGCGTCTCGTTTAGCAAATTCTGATTCGAGATTCTGGACCCCCGTGATCGATTTTAGGGGCGTCCGAAAACGCTGTCATGATGGAATTGTTCGCGGAATAATTTAAGCATTCATAAATCTTGCCAAGATTTTTGTGACTAAACGCTCGGCAAATTTGTGATTTTTGACATTGTGACCGATTTTTGTGACAAAGTGCACCTCCCAAATGAAGCGGACCAAGTCAAATTCAGGGAATTCTTGAACATGACATACTCTCTGCTCGACGCCGCGAACCAGTCCTGAATAGAATTTCTTAGATCCAGCAGTTGGTCGGGGTGAATACAGTTGCCTCTTTGTCCGAAACGTTCATGTCCTCTTTTTTTGCGCCATTCCTCGAGGTCACGACCGTATCGGTCCAAATCACCCCTCACCGAGTCCCACTGAAAAGCGTGACGGGCTATGTGCTGTTCGAATAGGGTAGCGTCCAGAATCTCGAAAATCAGGGCCTCGAAAATCCAAATCCCGAAAACCAGATTCTCGAAAGTTCAGAATGATAAAACAGAAGGAAAGCTTATCACATTGATACCCTTTACGGTTCTGCACTGTTAGCGGGGGCTTCAGCACGAGAAAACACTTTCAGTTTTTCGAGGTCTTTCGACTTGTTGGTGTTGTGATATGTATTGTCATAATGTTTTTAGTAGTTTTTGGCTGCTAGAAAGTTATAAATATTTTTAAAATTTCAAAATTTCAAAATTTTTAACCAAAAAATCAAAACTTTTCAAGAATTTATTTGTGGGTTTTTTGTGTTACGATGTAAAATGTGATTAAAATTGTTTAAAATTGGTGATAGGGCCGTAAAGAATCAGAGGGAACAATTTTTGGTCCCCCCCCGCGCTAACAGTCCAGAAACCCCTTTATTGTGCTTGTTTGGGGTAAATGGCTGGCTGCAATCGGATGCTAAATGACGAAGAAGGAAAATCGTAGGAGCAAGTTGAAGAAGATTTTCAAGATGCTAATCATCGAGATTCTGATTTCTGACCCCCATACGAGGCCCATGCCTGGCGATCTGCTTTAAGACCGCGTGGAACATTTAACTTCGCTAATTTCAAATGGCCTTTCTTCAAGCCACACTTACCTCCGCTTGGGTTAACCTCCCCAATTTCACCGCTCCTGGTAGATGCCAAGTAGGTGGCGACAAGAGATGGTCCACTGAGAGCCATTTATTACGATGCTTGCGATGGTTGAAACGCTATCTGAGACAATTTTCGCGATCACATAGTCTAAGATTTAGACCCTAAATATCGACCTAGAAACAGGGAGAACGGCTGGACTTGGCACTCCGTTTGAAGGCCAGTTTGCGCGCATAAGCTAAACCCCCGAATCTGTGCTTACTGGCTTCGTTCAGCTTGTCACGTACCGCCTGGTCGACAGGTAGTTGACCGGTTGATAGGCCATCTGAAATTGAAAAGCATTACATAACACGGGATTCATGCTTGAGAAAATAACCGACGGGAAGCGACTTGAACCCGATCTAAATAAAGCTGACTACTACTACCTACTCCGACCCTAGTGTAAATCGCCTGTCTTGGACAAGGGTCGAAACAGGCCAATTAATTTATTTTCTTTGGCCAAGCTCCATATTGGAGTAACCAATGCTCTTATTAACATAATTTATTTAAATTTTTACCTAATATATTTAACATTTCTTTTGATTTATGATATACCATTGATTCGATGATATGAAGAAACTAGAGCCGAGACCAGACTATATAACCAACCAGTGGCTCCGGCTGCATTAGGAGACCACGCGATTTGCAGAAGCAAAAGCACAGAGAAAAGTTTTGGGAGAATCATTCCTACCGGCGTCCCACACAGTACGCATTCGCAACGACATACCGCTTTTGAAGTCACAGCCAATTTGAATTTTCGCAAATAAAATAAAATAGGTTTTACCGCGCCCCGCCGTACAGTTTTCTCATATAAATTAATCAAAATGTCGCTGCCTGTCCTGGGAATTCGAGAATTATTGTCGTTCGCTGGGCGTTTTGTCGTACCGTCGCCTCACGTGTTTTGGCAGAGTGAATGCAATTCACTGGTTTCTTGAAACAGATGCTCCCAGCGTATCAAAAAGCGGAGTGTTTTTATCGCCATTTTTAAGATCTCAAAACGCTTTATCGCAAATTTTACAGCTCTGTAGCAAATTCGAAAAACGAGGCAATGATCAACGTGGTAGATTTTATAAGTGTGCACAATTTCAGCCCGGCCCGTGTTGCGGGTAACGGTGGCCGACTAGACGCTGGCCTTTCGCACCACCACAAGCTTGAGAACCGCCAGCCGGGTGATTTCCATATCTCCGAAATACATATCTCCTAATTCCATATCTTCTAAAAGCCAGCCCTGTATATTAGCTTTTTTCGGTTGCCATTTAAACTCTTATTTTTCCACGCTCCATCGAATGACATGTCGAAAATGTCGAAAACTTGCTATTTGTCCACACTTTCAGAAGTTATTTTTTATATAAGTTTTTATATTCCGACCAGCGCCCAAAACCCGCTTCGCGGGCCTTGGGCGCTGGAATTGGGCCTTTGCATGAAAAATTTGACTTTCCGATAGCTCGGGTCCTTCGGACCCTTTCCCCCACCGACCACACACGCGCGTGTAACCGGGAAGAATGAGGAAATTTTTAATTTTTCATATTATGCAAATTACCCCCAAAAATGAATAAAACCGGCTTTAACTTTGTAAACTTGTATTTTATCGAAATTCTGAAAACGCCATCGGAAAGAGGAGGGTCGATTCCTCCGGGTGACAAAAAATCAGCGCATTTTGGACACGGGAAGGCCCTCAAATCGGGCCTCGAAAGTGACATCCACACACACACACACACAGAGATACACTCCAAAATTATATAAGGTAGGATATTTTGAGTTGGGTTTACACCGCTCAGTATCTTTCCTGGGCGCTCTATCGAATCGCGTACAGAAACCCCAAAAAATACCGGGGTATCAAAAATTTTGGGACTTCGGGCTGGCGTGGGCGGGATCCAACCGTAGCCTCAAATTCGTACCGCTCAAGGCTGTCGATAAAAATCGATGCAGTGATTAGCATTGGCCGTATTCAGTGCACCTGTTTGTTCCACATTAACCATCGCCGCTTTCGCCTGCTTTCAACCTCATTCGACTAATATGCGCTATTCGGCATTATTAGCCGCCCTCCTTTCGTCTTCTTTTGCCGGCGACCTCATCACGCTTCACGTAAGATCCTTCTTTACTGCTTTCAAGAAAGTCGAAAATCAAATATTTTTAATAAAGCCTTTTCTTCCCCGTTTGGTTCGAAAATTTTCTGATCAAGATACCATGGCACCTTTTCCAAAAAAGAATCGGTAAGCCCCTCATTATCCTACTATATATAAAAAAAATAGTTTCTGTGTGTGTGTGTGTGCATTTGCATGCAACTTCCGTCAGCGTGTTCCAGTAGTATCTCGATAGGGGAAGGATTTTAAGATACGTATGATACGTCATTAGGTGCGTAATGGCGATGAGATGACTGCACACGTATAAGATTTTGCAAATTATCTTATTTTCGACATTAAAATTGGTTTTTTGTTTAAACAAACGGGCGCCCTCTTTGTTAGGAAAAAATTAGCATGCAGCGGAATTGACGATAGCCTATATAATGGTAGAGAGGGAGCGTTTTTCATTATTTCTCATGACAAATTCGGGCAAATTATGCAAAGGATAGAATTTCATGGCTTATACGGGGCCAGGGTTGAAAAGTCGCGAAGCGGCTTTTCAACCCTGGTCTTAGCTTTTAAAGTAGGCACAAAACACGTCGTAACTCTACTACAAAAGAGGCATATCATTTAACGTTACCTTTTTGGAAAACTAATATTCAAGCGCGAATTTTTGGAATTGCAATCGAGCGGGGTACAAACGATCGTGATATCCGGCCGAGCTCAACAAAGCTGTTGCTCGTAAGCACCTCGCCGCTATTTTCTCTTTACAGCTGCGTGGTGATGGCTGGATATGTTCGGATGGCAGTAAGCCGGTGAGTAATAATGATCTAGCAAATGTACAGGGTGTCCCAAAAACAAAAAAGAACCCTCTACCTGGAGGTCGGCAGTCGTGTCCGATTTTTACGGGTTAGGTATCCATCGAAAGCTCTCGACGAGCTGAGTAGATATTTTATTTGCGGTTTTATAAATCCGGGATTTTTTTGCCGGTTTGCGACTTTTTTCCTAACGTTAAACCTTTTTAAGTACTCAATTTAGTGGTCCCAAGGAGACCCTTACGTTTCTTCCCATTTTTAAATTTTCGGAATTTTTCGTTGGATTTTCGGCATTTTTATGCCAAATTTGAACATTTAATGTTCAATTTAATGGCCCTACGCCGCTAGCTAGCTAGTTGTGTTTTTTAAACTGGCTTTCAACTTCTTAAGTACTCTTCTACTTTAAACTACTAACTAAGTACTTTAAACTTCAAGGGGGCTGTTGCAAACGCGGGAAAATATATAAATCCTGGTTTTTTAAGGAAAGCCTTTCATTGGAGAAGCATCAAAAATTCGGTCCCTTTTCCCAAAACATTAGTAGTTGTAAGAAAATTACGAAATTTGGGAAATCGGAACAAACGTGTCTCCTCACATGCTGGTCGAGCGCTTTCGATGGATACCTTAGGTAAGGGGGCCATTTGGGACCGCCGTGTGTTCGAAACAAAAGTATTTTTCAGCCATGGGTGAAGATCGGGGCAAACCAGCAGGATGATCATAACATGTTTGATCCGTCAGTGCAATGTGACCGTAAGCCCGCGCCGCCTGCTACAGGGTGTCCCAATAAAAAACACCCTTCAAACTCGACGCGGAAGTATCGGACCGGAATGGTAGTTACACCATTCGAAAGCCCTTGAAACCGCGAGTTTGCAACCATCTTCAAAACCATCTACTATATATAAATTTCTAATGTCCATACGCCCGACCGGGAATTCAGCCAAATTTTGCATGCAAATTCCAAATTCAAATTGTGGGATGCGGGGGGAGGCCAGCGCCAGGCCCGTAGGAGGGGGGCCAGGGGGCCCTGGGCCCCCCGAAATCGGTCGAGGTCCGAAAAATTCATAAGGGGGGACCCTTATGAGTTTTAGTTACAAAAATTTTTCTGCCTGCGGCGCTGTTTATTACTGTTTTTCAAACAGTTTTTACTTATATTAAACCTATTCTTTCAAAATTTTTTGCCTGCGGCGCTGGTTTTTCCTTGGTGAATCAATTGTTCATAAAAATTTTGGCCTGCGGCGTGTTTTCTGCCGTGTTTTCACACGAATTTGAGTGTAGCGAACGCTTTTTTGCGATTTTTTTTGCCTGCGGCGCTATTATTGACGCGATTTTCGGATGTTTTAAAAGTGACGACGGGGAGGTCGCCAAAATTTTGTGCCCCCGAAATTTCGGTTCCGCTACGGGCCTGGCCAGCGCTGAACCCTGCGCTGGTCTTTTCATTTAAACGCACAATTTTATCAGGCTTCTAGAACAGTAAGGGAGGGCCTCTACATGTTATTAACGGCTGCTTCCGGTCATCTTGCTTGGCGAAATTGGGGCAAATTAGCTGGAATGCAACTTCGTGACACCGAAAATTTTTCAAAATGGTTTGTGAAATTTCGGTTTAAAATAAAAACATCGTTTTGAAGGGTGTAGCAAAGTTGCCGTTTCAACGGCCATCGGATGGTGCTACCATTCCGATCCGGTACTTCTGCGTCGAGCTAGCCGGGGGTGTTTTTTTATTGGGACACCCTGTATTTGCAAAACAATATGTAGTGAATTGCCGTTCGAAAATAACGATGCGAAACAAGGGAGGCAACGTGCTAGTACTTGTCAAGCATGACTGCACAAATGCCGACACCAAGCATTATTGCTTCACGTTCAAAATGCCCGACGAGAGTGGCCTGGATAAGCAGAATGAATACGAGTGTGTTGGTTTAAGATTTTTCGGGATGGGATTATGGCAACGGATTGCTTATTGGTTTTTCGTGGATTTTTTGCAAGGTCTCCTTAGGCGTTCAGAATATGCCATTTTGATGGTCATTTAGCAGTTTCTAAATAGAGGTTTTGCATGATGTATTTGGCAAAACTCTGCATAGAATAACACAAAATTGATTCACGATAACACAAGTCTCCTTCTACCAAGTAGGCGTCTCAATTTGGAACAGAACCAAATTTACCTTGTGTAGAACTTTGCGCTGATTCCGAATCCATTTCCAAATTGGCTTCATCGGCATTTTCAAGAAGTTAAAACACGCTTCCGGGCAAAAAAGCTCAAATCGCAAAGGGTTCTTGCAAAATTTCATGAAAAATGTTGCGTCAAAAGTAATTAGCGCAGCCTGTGCAGAAAAATTGCTCTATTCTGATGAGCATCTTTTTCTGCGCATGCAAAATTTCTCCGGACACACGGAATGCCACCGATTCCCTGTTTTTCGGTTGCTGATGTTCGGAATGCTGGGCGCGAACTCGGTCGTAGATAAATCGATGCTACACTTCCAGGGGGTGCGCAAAAGTACCAACCCCAACATTTACGCCATTGAAATACCCTTGTAGGTTCCGTTTCGTCCCAACCTTGCCGCTTTTTATAAATAGGACCAGCTATTTTTCAGGGAGGACAAGCAATGCTGACCGACCTATGCAATAAAGCTGTACTGAAACGGGTTGAACTTGTAAACACGCTACTGAATAACATGTACAGCGCATTGGGAAAACGAAGCCAACTATCAGGCTGTCCGGAAAGTTGTATCCTAGCAAGTAATCTATTAGCAATCCTAGCAATTAAAACAGGGACTCCCGCGTTTCGGAAGAAACGGTTTTCGGTACTATTTTTGGGCTCTTTCAGGTGCACACATCAAAGCGATTACGCACGATCGATTTTACGCGGAATCGGGCTTGGAAGGCCAGGTCGACGAGGGCTGCCTAGTTGCAACATTCAAAAAAATCGTAGCAATTAAACCAGGGCCTGCGGGGTTTAGGAAGAAACGGTTTTCGGTACTATTTTTGGTGCTCTTTCAGCTGCACATCGAAGTCCCAAAAAAGCATACGGGTCCGGGGACTCGTCCTAAGCCTAAGCCTAAGCCTAAGCCTAAGCCTAAGCCTAAGCCTAAGCCTAAGCCTAAGCCTAAGCCTAAGCCTAAGCCTAAGCCTAAGCTGAGGGTCAATCGTTGGCCTACTCAGTGGAAAGCTTTGGGAACCCCCTCCACACTAGTGGGCCAGGTGGGGGGCGAGTGCGAAGCAAGCAAAGTAGCCCGTCCTGCGATTCCGCTACGAAATAGCGTCCGGAATTCGGAAACGCCTGATTTGGCTAAATTGAGGATTAGGGGTGTTCGAGCTGCTGTTGCGCCAAGGAGCGATGTGACGGCCGAGCCAGAGCAACCCGGAATCAGCGTTTCAAAGCGCTTCGAATGGCATTGATCGGAAGCGCGCGGCCCGTTTCGAAAAAATCCATGTGGTCCCCCTTTACTCGTAAACCATCAAAAATCAAAGTTTCAAAAAATCGTAGCCATTAAACCAGGGCCTCCGGGGTTTGGAAAAAACGGTTTTCGGTACTATTTTTGGTGCTCTTTCAGGTGCACACATCAAAGCGATTTCGCACGATCGATTTCTCGCGGATTCGGGCTTGGAAGGCCTGGTCGACGAGGGCTGCCTAGTTGCTACATTCAAAAAATTGTAGCAATTAAACCAGGGCCTCCGGGGTTTCGGACCAAACGGTTTCCGGTACTATTTTTGGTGCTCTTTCAGCTGTACATCGAAGTGCGTGATGAATTTCTCGAAATTTTTTTGGTAAATTCCGAAGGATCGACGTGGTCCCCCCTTTACTCGTAAACCGTCAAAAATAAAAGTTTCAAAAAATCGTAGCAATTAAACTTTGGGTCAATCGATGTCTCATTGGGGAAGGTGAGTTGGACTTAAAAATGTTGATACTAATGACGATTTATACTCCCTACCATTAAAAAAGCCCTGCGCATATACTAGGCAAATGTAGCAGCAATGCAAGAAAACTCGTCCCGTATCCATTATCAAAGTGACGCGTGAGCACGTTGTCTGCATCGCCAGCACGCGCTTTTACGTTTTATTGGATCGTGAATTTCGGAGGAGCCGCGTGTTCCAAAATGGATGTGAACAGGCCTTTCGTAACTTATGGCCAACGATCGGCGGATTCACAGTATTATGAAATCTTTATTAACACAACATCAATCTCTTTTAGAAGAAGACGACAAAACTGCAGCGGTATGTCTTGTGGTCGCTTTGAAACGGGTCCCACGTAAAGTAGAACGCGTTCGTGAAGAAGAAGTGTTGGTAGTAGCCGTCCGGCTGCACGGCGGTGACACCGTGACGATCCACACCGTCGTCCACCCACGCCTTCTGAAACGATCGAATCATGCTGAGATTTTTAGGTTGAAACCGTCAAAAAAATATGGCGGAGTCGCAACTTCGGTGCTTTTCGTATTTTGCGTCGCAATTATGTTACCCCAAAGATCGCCGGCATGTACTCGTCGACGGCAGCAATGTCAAAGTGCTTTTGGTCGGGCATCACGCTGAAAGAAGGATCATATCAGGGATTTTCAGAGCCTACCCTCCAACGTTTTCAATGAACAGGCTCTTAATTTTATGCTTGACGGTTTCGAAATGCGCCTCGGCCTGTGTGGTGTTCAACGGATGTTCACTGTCGCGGCTCGCCCATATGAAAAACACACTCAATGTCTTGCTGTTGTGCACATGGCACAAGTGCCCCTAAAATGGCAGTATCGCACTGTCCTATAAATCAAATATCGAATGACAGCAAAACAGATCTCAACAAGATTGGGGAATTTTTCACGCACCTCCAAGCATTTTGTTCCCCACACCAGCCCGCGAACATAATCCATATAGGAGTTGTGGAAAAAGTGAGCGATGCGACGCAGACTGGAATACGGCTGTTCTAGATGGTACCAAATTTTGCAAGAGTGCTTTAAAAAAGTGATGATGTCGATTTTCGTAACGTCGCAATTTCAGAAGTTTGAACCGTCAGAACGCGAAATTCCATACGGCAAATTTAATAATGTCCGAATTTCACACCGCGAAATTTCATGATGTTCTAACTTGAACTGAATTTCATAATGTCGAAATTTCGGATTGCGAATTTTCAGACTGCCGAAATTTCCTAAATTCAAACTTTCATTTTCAAGTAGTTTCAGAATGTTGAAATTTACATGATTACGTCTCGAAATATGAATAAGAAAAATCAAAACTGTCTTTCCTTAGTAATTTTGTTTTTAGTCCGGGCTGCCCGCGCCCACCTCGGGTCCCGCTTAGGGAAATATTCGAGAAATTTCTGCTGCAACTCCGGATATCTCTTGGGGTTGATGACCTTCCCGCCATGGAAGCTGTCATACTCGCCGTAACTATCGCGAAAGTCTTCGACGTAGGTTGCGAATAGGGACTTTTCTCCGATGATGATGTCCACCTGCAAAAATAGTTTTTGAAGCTTGTTGCAAATGCGCTGTTTCAAGGGCTTTCGAGTGGTGTAACTAGCATTCCGATCCGATACTTCTGCGTCGCGAGGGGAGTTTTTTTTATTGGGGCACCCTGTACAGTACCTGTTCGTCGGTCAATTTCCGGCCGAGATTTCCGGCGCTACTTCCACCACCGTGTAGTTGGTCATAATGCGAAAGCGCTTGTAGCAGGTCTTTTCGGACCTTGGGGTCGCTCGACGTCTCGTTACCGGTAGATGAGCCGACTAGAAAAGTACGGATGATCAGGCCCGACCAGACGTCATAAAGTTAAGCGTAAGCCATCGTCGAGCTCCTACCATTAAAGAGCCCCTGACCAGCAACTGCGCCAATGTAGAAGAACAGCAGCTGCGCAACCCTTAGCCCGACCATTTGTCACCACATCCACATCATTACGCCGATCCCTTATCTAGCCTCCATTTTACATGAATAATTCAGAATATCGTTCGAGCTCAGTCCCACACGAAAATATCAACATGCCCTTTGTCACGAAAATATCCTCCGAATTTATGTGTTGCATAAAATGCCGTTTTCGAGAACATTTATCCGCGAAATTCTCTTGCCCTATCCTCGGGTATGACGCTATGAAATTCAAATTCTGTTGTCCCCGCGAATGTTATCCTTTAAGTGTTGTGCTTTTTTAGAGCCGATCGCATCATCTTCGGTGGGTTTTGGGTTCATCACTACGGTAAACGGATTTGAACAATCGATTTTTGTGCCCAAAAATTCATAAGCTTGCAGCCAAGACTTCAAATCAAAAGCTATTAACCTCTGAAAAACAAAGGGGGCACGATAGCTGCCATAATTTGCTAGCTCAAACGTTTGATACTTAATTGTTACCTTATTTGAATCTTTTTGAACCCACGTCAATTCGGCAAGAACCGAATTCTCTTTCCCCGTTTTCAAGTAATCCCGACTAGGAAAAGTAATTATGCTAACGTAAGCTATAAATTGTAAACTTCTAGGGCGCCTAATGAACATGTAAGATCGATCGTCGAAGAAGTTTTCTTCCTTTCCTCTGCGCCGCATACAAAATTGGCTCCCGGAGCATTGCTTCTGTGCCGACCGTGACAGAGCCGACCGTGCCGAATAACGTGATTCTCAAAATACAGGCTTTTTTCCCGAATAATTTTGAAAATATGAAAGTAACTCACACGTAGATGGAAATGAGGAGGATTAGAATCATGAAACCACAAAAAGCAGCAGACCGCGGCGGCGCTCTTGCGGAAGAAAAGAGACCTGTCTGCTGGACTGGCCGGTTTCGCTTGCTCGGCGAGAGAGAGAGAGAGAGAGAGAGAAAGAGAGAGTGGGAGAGAAAGAGAGAACGTGAGTTACAGATCCCAGAGAAACAAACGAATACCTACCATTGAGATCCGATGGTTCTGCGTCGGATAAGAGGGGGTTTTATTGGGATCTATGAAATATCTTAAAATAAAACAAAATAAATATAAAATAAACGCTATAAAATTTTATCGATAAAAAATGTAGATATTTAGCTAAGAGGTGTTGCAAAAGTTAGTTGTTTAGGAGGATGCCGTCAAGATGTAAACGTTCCATTCAAAGAATTTGCAATCTAGTGATCGTCGGCCACGATCGCACAAACGCGTTGACCAAGTTTTATTGCTTTTCGTTTCGGTCCCCGACGAGACCCAGCCACCGCATAACGACTACGAGTATGGCAATAGGCTTTGATTGTTCCTTCTGCTTCTCGGATGATCATGTTCGGGATGCTGGGTCTGGAAAAATGGGCCGACAAAGAGCGGTTCCACTATCATCGAGTGCGCAAACAGTCTAACAAGGACATCTATGGAAAAGACGTAGAAGTGTGAGTTCTATAAATCACAGGGGGATAAGGACGGCATAAGTCAATCGATTACGCTCGGGAAAGAAAATGTCTCTGCTTCTCGCCCCCTGGCGCGTTCGACCGATGCCGTCGGTATTCCCTTAAAGGGTGAAAATTAAGCTAGAATCGACAATGGTTCAGTAGGATCGATTGTCGATTCTAGACACAATCAGGATCGAGCAGATGTGTTAATGGCCGGCGATGATAAAAATGCGGAATTGAAGCTAACAGGCATCATCTAAATAAATCATCGTCACAACCGCATCACAGCCATATCGTTGTTAAAGACAATAATCACGCTGTCAGTCTTGCGGCAGACGTATTTATTTCGACGTAATTGCGGCTGGACGCTTAGATTTGGCTGCTTAGAAGGACGTGCATTTACCGAGGGTCCTAAATATGGAGATTGCAGACATCACGATGCTTACAAGCAGTATTTTACCGACCGTTTTGTAAAATTTTGCGGTTTTTCGGGATTGCATCCGAGCTAATTTGCCTCAATTTCTCAAAGCAAAATGACCGGATGTAGCCGTTAATTAGTGGCATAGGCCGTTCTTTAAGGTTTTTAAATGCGTTATAAAATGGCGCGTTGAAGTAAAAACCTGGTTTTGAAGATTGCTGCACACTGGCCGTTTCAAGGGCTTTCGAATGGTGTAACTATCGTTTCGATCCGATACTCCTGCGTCAAGTTAGAGCGGGTGTTTTTTATTGGGACACTCTTTGGTTTGCTGTTTTGAAATAGTGAATGCCCCCGTTGCCCTATGTGCACCGTTCTGCCGTAAAAGACTCCTTAGTAGTTTTAAACACTCGCATTATTTCTCCGTAGGTCTTACGATCCGCCCTCTTCGCCATCCCTGCATACAGAATTGGCTCGCGATTCATAACTTCTATGCTTTCGCCGAGCATCCCAAATAGCGTGATCCTCGAAATAAGGCCATTTGAGAGTGATATTCATAGCTCATGCTCATTTCTCTTACGCCGCCCTGCCGACGTCACTTACCCGTAGGCGGCGGGCTCTTCGTTTCCGTTGGGTGCCGGAAACAGGGTCGACCAGCAGTAAACCTCCGGCATTTTCTAAAATTGATGATTGATCTTGAGGGTGTAGTCACCTGAGTGCCCGGGCACTTAAAGTTGACGAAAAACTCGATAGCAGTGAGCCGCACCATATAATTAGCCAGGCAGGTCACTAAAAAACTTTTCAAAAATTTTAAAAAGTTTTTAAAAAAAAATAAAAAAAAAAAAATTAAAAAAAAAAAAAAATAAAAAAAAAAAAAAAAAATTTAAAAAAAAAAATTTTTTAACAAAAGTAAAAAAAAAAAAAAGCCGAAAAAATTTTAAAAAACAGGCAAAATTAAAAAAAAAAAATAAAAAATGAACCGAATGAGCTGTGTCGCCTGGCAAAACTCCAATGACACCTAACAACCCCGCGTGTTAGCCACTCAAAATTCTAAAGTTTGACTTCAGCGCCGAAAGCGTAACACACAAAAATTTTCGACAGTCTTACCCCGACATTCCTGCGGACTCTTCTCATCCTTGCCGCTCGAGTCCCTAGCCGAGACAGTGACTGAGATCTGTTGAGAAAGATTATAGGCCTGGCGGGTCACGTTCAAAATTGGAATTCCAGTCATTTTTCCTAAATTCATTTTTCCTAAATTCATTTTTCCTAAAAATCATTTTTCCTAAAAATCATTTTTCCTAAAAGTCATTTTTCCTAAAAATCATTTTTCCTAAAAGTCATTTTTCCTAAAAATCATTTTTCCTAAAGTTCATTTTTCCTAAAACCGGTTAAATACCGTAAAGGCCTAGTTCTTTAGTACTATGCATGAGAAAATAGAAAATTTTTTAGAATAAGTTCAGATCTGCCTAGAGTGATCATAGGAAGTATTTTAGTTGCGCGTTTAGCCTAGATTTGGGTGATTGGAAGTGAAAAGGATCAATTATAATAAGAAAGATTTTTGATAAAAGCCTACTAATAACCAAACCAAACAAATACTGCTAAAAAAAGGAAAAATTTCTTGATATTTTTACGCATCCCTATTTGAAAAATTTTAGGAAAAATGAACTTTAGGAAAAATGATTTTTAGGAAAAATGATTTTTAGGAAAAATTATTTTTAGGAAAACTGACTTTTATGAAAAATGATTTTTAGGAAAAATGATTTTTAGGAAAAATGAATTTAGGAAAAATGAATTTAGGAAAAATGATTTTTAGGAAAAATGAACATAACCCTCAAAATTGCGAAAATCGTAATGTCAAAATTTACGGAACGGAAAAAGAATTTATGGAAAACAGGAGGTCGCGGGTTCTACTCTCGCCGTGCGCAACCCCGTTTTACCATTGCTTAAAGGTTTATTCTATGCTAGAAAATGTCTACATTCTCAAACTCAGCATTATGAAATTTCCACATTATAAATTACGGCCATATGATTTTTCATATTTTTGGCAAATCGTGTTTGACTCTTTCAGGCTTTCCAGACGATGATTGCGCATCTACCAGCCGGGTCTCATTTTTAACCTACCGGCTGTTGGCCATCGGCGCATACCCATGCTCCACCATTGATCTAAATGACAAACAAATAATTCAAGCGGGAACCGTACGAGGCAATGGTGTTTTGGGTATGATGCAAACTTGCTTTTATCTAACGCCATCTCAAAAACGAGCTCTTTTCCCAAGAAATGGCGGAGGTACGGGGTGTCCCAAAAAATCGACCCCTCTCTAGCGGTCTTTGGATCGGGATGATTTTTCCCCCATTCAAAAGCCCTGGAAAGACGAAAAAACCAGCGATTTTCGTTTTATAAAGTTTTTGGCCCTCGCTCGATCTTACACGATTTTTTAAAATAACGCGAAGTCAGCGGCGGTCTGTTATCTTGAGTAAGCTATTACATACCGATTTGCATAAAATCTGCAGTTTTCATCGTTTTTCAGTATTAAAATGCGTGAACTAATATGTCGATAATGAAAAACGAAAATTGCTTGTGTTCTCGCCGTTCCGACAGCTTTTGAATAGAAACCTCAATCGTCAAAATCGGGCACTTCTGCGGTCTGCTGGAGGGGACTCGATTTTTTTTGGGCAACCTGCATATTGGATTTCCCCATTTGTTGTGCTGCATGGGCTTTTCATTTTTGTCAAAGGACTGACCGTAACATTACGCATCGGGTCGCCTGCCACAACGAAGCATAGATATGTCAGCGTCAGAAGAAGAAAGCTTCCCAGATTCAGTGGGACCATTGCTTGGTGGCTATGGAAATGTCTACTCCTATCCCTGGTAGCAAAATCAAAATTAGGATTCCGCCTCGAAGCCGTGAGCGGAATAAGGATGTCTGATGCCGGCGCGACAACTTCTCGGGACTACTGATTTCTTTTGTAGCGCCGTGCTCGCTTTGTATGCTATGCAGGGCCCACTATCGGGGTTAAATGAGAAGACAAAGATCTCTCTGAATGCGAGCCCTCGAAATCGTCACAACTAACTTTGTGAAAAGCTTTACAACTCACTTTTCTTTCATGCGCCATTTGCAACGCATTTAAAAACATTAAGGAACGGCCGCTGAATCTAATTGACGGCTACTTACGGCTATTTCATCATCTTTGCGTCCATCTCCTATTGATTTTTTCGCATTCTTTTTAGTTGAACATCGAACTACTGATTTTGAATACTGGCTGACCTTGATTTTCGTGCGTTTAGGAGCTTTTCTCAAAGCAGCCCGCCCAACAGGATGTGAGTTTTGTCCGCGTGAGTGTGATAAGAAAAACCATGTCGATATGACGGAAAATCTCAACACCGAAAATTTTATTGCATGCAAAAATGTATGATCACCGTTCAAAAATAGAATGAAAAAATGACACAATAGGTTTCCTTGACAACCCACTGTCGGGTTAGAAAGTCATGCCACTCCAAGTGCCTTATCTGCCCACCGAGTTCTGGGGCCGGTGCCATGGGCCAAGTACATTCTGTTTTCCAATCATCGTTTTTCCAAAGTCTCTAAAGCTGGCAGTTGGGTTTTAACCAAAGGTAAAAAAAACGGGGGGCCGACAAAAAAAAAAAAAAGGAAAGCCAACAACAAAAAAAAAAAAGTAAAAAAAAAAAATAAAAAAAAAAAAAAAAAGAAAAAAAAAATAAAAAAAAAAGGAAATTTTAAAGGGCACAACGAACCCCAAATCAAATAAAAAAAAAAAAAAAAAAAAAAAAAAAAAAAAAAAAAAAAAAAATTAATAAAAAAAAAAAAAAAAAAAAAAAAAAAAATTAACGAGGCACAAAGGGACAGAATCCACTCCTGGCACTATCAGGAGGATCGACTCGTTATAAACCGCAACTAACCACTGTGTAGGCGGGCATCACATCGTCCGCCAAGCCGAGGTCAAATTTGGATACTACGAATTTGTCGCCATCGAAAATATCCCTACTGAAATTGGACACGAACATTAAAATAAAAGATTTTCAAGGTATTCATAGGGTTGGTTCTAGCTTCTGGGCTAGAACGGAGGAGATAGTTCTTTCCAGGTTAGACCCAAATTACCACAGATCGGCACCGCGAAATAAACTTTCATTTTTAAAACCAAATAGAAAAGACCGAATAACTCGGACTCGGATATTGTACGACAACACGGATAGAATCGACCAGGCTGCCCATCACCTCGTGACATGCCAGTTTTCGGCGATCTTTTGGTTGAAATCGTCGAATTTTGACCTCGACTATTTTGACCTTCCACGTAAATTTGCAAAAATAAAGATAGCAAATGTATTCAAAAAATGTTTCGCTTTGGAATGAGCCCACTAACTCGAAATTTTCCACAACTGGACAATTTTAAAAATTCAAACGAAATATGCTATTCGAATCGGAAAAATATGTATCCGATCGGCTACTTAAAGGGGCTACGAAGTGCCAAAAATTGAGTGACGGCCCGAAAATGGGAGCCCTGTACGTGGGAGGCCTCTGTACACCTAGGGCGCGGGAAGCTCGCAAATTTGAAATGGTCTGTTGTCACCTCGAAATCACGTTCTCGGCTGTTTCTGGGCCAAATTTGATGATTAAAAAACCAAAACTATTTAAAATTGAGTGAGGATTTCAAAAATGGGCTCAGAATGCGCGAATTATAGTGTTTTCCCAACGAAACCGGGCAAAAACAACTTCGTGCAAAAATCGAAAGAGTGAGGGCTCTCTCGTCCCGAAGCGCCCGCTGGCAATTTGCCAGAAATCAAAGAGGCCTCCCAAAAGGGCTTTGATTTGGCAGTTCGGAGCCCCTTTAAAACCAAAGGAGGACGGAAAAGAACGGCATCATGGCAAAACACTTCTCGGGGGCGATAATTGACCTAAAACATAATTATCTCGATTTTTAAAGCACAGGAGCAAATTCGGAAAAGGAGGGGTTGATCAGCGTCGTCGATTCTATCTGTGCGCAATTTTTCCGCGCCAATTCTGTGTCCGGGTTTATTCGGGCTTCCCTAGTCAATGCAGGGAATGCTGTGCACCCACTTTCAAATGGGCCGTCGAGTAAGGCAAGTTTTTCTTGCGTGAATGAGACATTTATAAGTATTATCTGCACCCACGGAGTGAAGATCTTCGCGCGGAACCGCTCAATCAGACCAGACCCATCTTTCGTCTTCACCATCCAATTGTCGATTTCCTCCTTCGTCGACATACGCGCATTGCCCCACCAAAAGTGGACCGCCATTAACCCGCTCGTGATGTAGGTTCGGCAGATGCCGCGGGTTCCACAAGCGAAAGACTCGTAGGAGGACCCGGCGTGATGCCAATACGACAAGAACAACTCAGCCACCCGTCGCACACTGCAAGAGGGATTTTTTTAGTATCGCATCTCCCCAGCCACAGATTAATGACCCATACCAAACCAATACAGCTTGTTCCAATGAAAACACTTCCCTCTAACTCGACGCACCAGGATCGGATCGGGACGATGCTTACACCATTCGAAAGCCCATGAAACGGCGTGTTTTCAACAGCCTCCAACGCTAGCTTTTTACTTGAATGCGCCAGTTTACAAGCCATTTTGCGAGATTTTTGCAGCATACAAGCTAATTTGCCTCAAAATTCTCAGGTAAAATGACCAGAAGTAGCCGTTAACCAGATATCGAAGCCGTTTCATAATTTTTTAAAGGCGTTATAAAATCGCGGGTTTAATTAAAAACGTGGTCTTAAAGATTGTCACAAATTGGCCGTTTCAAGGGTTTTTGAATGGTGTAACAAACATTCCAATCCGACCCTTCTCCTTTGCGTTAGAGGGAGGTTTTCACTAACCGACGCAGCGTTTCCCAAACTTACTTCGTTACGTTCTTAGCATTAAATTTCGACTGCAATTCCAGCGCGAGCTTTGGGTATTGGTCCTCGGGCAGATGGGGTTGGTAGAACTCCGTCGCTTCGCCGCACTCTCTCGATACATACGCGTCCAGGTAGGCCTTGTATTCGGCGAACTCGGCGTTTGCGATCGCTTCCTCAAATTTCGTTGCGTTGGAAAAGGTGTCAAACCAGTTGTTTCAAATCGACTGCTTCGGTTAGACCATCTCGCACTTCTTGGTCGATCGGTAACCGGGCATCAGCGCCTAAGAATCATAACGTTGAACGTCGGCAGAAATGGCAAATCAGGTTAACAAAAAAAATCTTACATAGAAACCATCACCAACCTGCCGATGAAATTAAGATTGCCGGCAGGAGCAAGATAGCGCCACGAAACATCCTTGCTACTGTATTTTTGACACAGAATGCATGGAATGCGAAAACAGCTGAATCTGGACATTTTTCCCGAACGCAGAGCACACGGCATAAATCCAGCTTGTTAAAGCCAACTCGGTGAATTTTGAGTAGATAGCCTCCGCGTTTTCAGTGGGTGTACCCGATTACGAAAATTTCCATATCGGAAATCAGCATTTCGAAAATAGCTTTATAAAGTCAGCATTTCGAAACACCATTTCGCAAAGCATCTTTTCACAAATTACCACTTCCAAAATGCAATATTCCGCAGAAATTATTTTGCTTCCCAGTCGCTGAAAAACCTGTTTTTTTTTTTCGCCAATTCGATGTTTTATAGTCTATTTCTCGAGAGGGTGATTTTCGAAATCATGAATTCTATTTTCGTATCTACGTCGTGAATTCGTTATATCTTCGTGAATTCTATAATATGTTATGTCCGCGGATTTGCAAGTACGCTCCGTAATTACACCACAATACCCTTTTTTGAAAGGTTCTGAAACTTCTTCAAGGTTTATTGTGCGGCACTTCCAAACGCATCTTTCAGAAGAAGAATGAGAATTCGACACAGTAGGTATCATCAAAAACAGGGCGCCGTTGAACGTCGTGCCACTGCAAGTGCCTGATCTGCCCACCAAGTTCCGGGGCAGATACGGTGGACCATTCGCACACTTTGCTCCAATCCGTGTCTTTCCAAAGTTGCTAAAGCTGACCGTTAGATTGAGGATACCTTTTTGGGGATCACAAATAGTTTTTTATAATAGAAAACTTGCTAGGAAACAAACTGACCACAGTATAGGCCGGCATCACCTCGTCAGCCAGGCCCACGTCGAATTTTTCGGTTTCGTATTGGCTGTCTTCGAACCAGCCAGTCCTAGAATCCAAACAATATATGCATGACAGCGAGTCAACCATTTATAGTTTTATTTTTATAGTTCCATATCTTTGCGTTGCGGCAAAAAAATTACGGTGTCGGACTGTAAGCGGGGGGGGCTTTTAGCTGGGTGGGAACCCATTTTTTGTTTCCCACTTTTTGACAATATATACTGTATTTTTGGTACTTTTGATTCTTAAAACTTCTATAAAATATTTTTTAGAAATTGTGAAACTCCACATTTTCGAACCTTTTGCGTCATTTTTCATAAATTTTTGACCAAATATACAAAAATATTCGAAAATTTTTACTCCCGCCGTTAACAGTCCAGAACCCAGGATCGAATATCAACATCAAAATATTAATTTAGAGCTTTCATACTGTAATAGGACGCCATTCCAGCCATATTGACCCACTTTTTGTCGAAGACCTCCTCGCGGAACGTCTCAACGAGTCGGGATCCTGCGTTTGTCTTCTCCATCCAATCGTCAATTTCCGGCTTGGTCGACATACGGGCGTTGCCCCACCAAAAATAGATCATAAGGTAGGCTCTGTTCCGGTAGGTTCGACAGATTCCGCGGCGACCGCAAGCGAAATGCACGAACCCGCCGCTCAAATGCACCTGAGCCAATCGGCGGACACTGCAAATATTACCAGGAAAGTGGTTCGACGGGTTGTCAGGCTCACTTTGTGACATTCTTGGCATTGAATTGCGACTGCAACTCCTGAGCTATCTTTTGGAATAAATCCATGGTGGGGTGGCACAGGGCCTGTTTGCCACAAGCCTTCTTGATATAAACGTCTAGAAAGGCCCTGTACTCGGCGAATTCGGCATCGACGATGGGTTCCTAAAGGGATTTTGTGCTGACAAGAAGGGTCCTTTTGAGTCATCCGCAAACGGTTCGACGCGCCCCTAGTTTTTAATATGATAAAATCAGGTGTAGCCATTCGGCAAAGATGGAAAACGGGGTCTGGCTCAGAATTGAATTCTCGATCGAATGATCTACGTCAACGACTCAAAAAGAACGCTCTTTGTGAAAACAGAAACCAACCAGTTGTGTGCGGTCAATTGCTCCTCCTCCTCCATCATGCGCTTCCGTGTCGATCGGAAGTCTAGCCCCAGCACCTATAAAACGGTCTTGCGCCGCAAAACTTGAAAAAAATTTGCTCTAGCGAACAAATACCGAAATGAAAGGGACATACGACTGGATAAGATGGCCAGCAGGAGCAAAATAGCGCCACGAAGTTCCATCGCGATCGTATCGTCGCGCCCCTTAAAATGCCGGTATGGCGCCGATTTTTTATTTCAGAAAACCTGTGCCAATTCGGACGTTTTTCACAAATAAAATAAATTTTAGACGCCTGAATGGATGATTGAAAACCAGGTCTCCTCAATTTTGTGCAGAATTTTTTAATGGTTCCAGGGCCGTCTTGATTTTTTGCGAAACAACCCGATTTTTTTTACCGTCGGTGCGATTTTAACATAATTTTTCCCAAAAATTATTTTAATCGTCCCGGCCGATTTCCCGAAAACGAATATCGACGTCGTATTCAGGATTTTTTTTCTAGCAAATGCCCCTTAATTTAGCTCAAAATTGTCGAAATCTGAAAAAATTTGAATGTGGCAAAATTGGAGAAACGACTTTGGAATCAACGAAAAATTCTGAGCAAAGGAGGATAGGTCCCATTTATGAGGAATCGTGGTAGCTACTTTTGGTACAGTTTGTTACACTGATTCAGCACAATTACTGGGTCTGTGCCTGTTCACGCCGAAAGCTGAGCCATCAAAATAATGGCAATTAAAATTTTCTTCCATTTGATGACTTTCATGTGACCATGCTTCCAGCCGAAAAAGCAATAAAAATTGTTTGAAAAATGCGTGCATGGGCTGCCGTTTTTGCCGAGCAGGATGTGAACTTCTAGAAAATCTTTCGCCCCCTATGTTTACAATGATGTAAATTTGCAGATTTTTTACCCAAAAGCACCTTCAATGAGCCCTTAACTTTTGCAAAGGGCTTCTCTGAATCGATCCGACAAATATTCCGGCAAACACAAACATTTTGTTAGTCAAAATTTTTTTGAAACTCATTTTTTGCTGATTAAAAAGCATTTTTCGCAACCTGCGAGGATAATCAGAATGTTATGAAGCTTTAAAGGGCGAAAAACGCCTAAAGTTACCCATTTTAACCATTTTGCAAATGTAAAGCCGTTTAGATAGGATCGTGTCGCAGTTTCTGCAGCGCGCTTAGGTCGGTAAAAAAAATTCTGCGCAAGATAGGCTTGGTCTCATTATGAAACCGCTTGAACACCCAAAAACCACTCCTTGTAAACCGGTTAGCAAGATCCGCCAACTGTTTCGGAGATTCCACGTGACATTTTTACATGGCACTTATGTTAACTATGATACTTTATCACACCAAACCTTATTCAAAAGAAGAATGAAAAATGTACGCAGTAGGTCTCGTTAACAATGAGGCGGTTCTGAATGTCATGCCATTCCAGGTGCCTGATTTGACCACCGAGTTCTGGGGCCGAGGCCGTTTCCCCTCTGCATTCTTGCTTCCAATCACTGTCTTGCCAGATCCACTAAACCACATTAAGCCTCACCGTGTGCAAGGAATTGAAGGAAAGTGCCCAAAATGAGCGGCGAAGGAGCGGCAAAGTAAACTAACCACGGTGTATGCCGGCATCACATCGTCGGCCAGACCAAGGTCAAATTCCGATGGCTTGTATCGATCGAACTCGGTTTGCCTGGAACTTACCAATAGTTTCTCTCGCCTTATCGGGGGGCGACGGGAAACAAATTATTTTCATCATCTAGAAGTTTCTAATAATTTAATAAGCAGTATATTGTTCTTGGCAAATCATAACAATTTTTAACGAAAAACTATCTAAAAACTGAAAAATCTTGCAAGTAGTCGAAATTCTGGTCAAAGAACGGCGTTTTTGGTCGAAAAATCTATACATTGTAGTTTTTAAAAATATGTTATTAGTTTTTGAGGAAAGTTTTATTAGGAAAAATAAAAAACAGTTTAGACGCATTTCCGCTGTTTATATTTAAAAAAACTGGTTCCTCAGAAAAAATTCTTCCTTCCCCGATAATGCGAAAAACCCACGAATAAATTAAATTTTAAGTGCAATCTTAAAAACTGCATTGGCAACATCATCCTCCCGTTTTCCCTTTTTGGGGCTTTCCATGCAAAAATTTGGAGATTTGAATAAGAACCGGAAGCTTGATCAAATCCTCAGAAACCCGGAATTGATTTGAATAACCCCATCACCCGTGTAGACACCCACTCTTTAGAGAAGATCTTTGCGCGGAACCTCTCGATCAACCCGGCTCCATCTTTGGTCTTCACCATCCAATCGTCAATTTCCGTCTTCGTCAACATATGCGAGCTGCCCCACCACATGTTGATGGTCATCCAGGCTCTGGTCGTGTAGGTCCGGCAGACCGCTCGCGCGCCGCAGGCGAAATACTTTGGGGTCTTGACGGCGACGAGCAACTGTGCAACACGGCGCACCCTACGGCCAACCAATTTATTCGTTGTTTTTTAATGCAAATGTTTTATGGGTGTTTGGGAAATGGCGAAGGAATCGCTTTGTCGAAAATCATTTTGTCGAAATGTAGTCTTGTCGTAATTTCATTCTGTCGAAATTTCCATGCGCTGACCTTCAGTTTGCGAAATTTTGAGGTGAATAGGAGGGGCGGAAATGGCATTGAAATTTCGACAAATTCAATTTCCGGTGATATTTCCTTTTCGACAAAATAAGGTAAGTCATTGCGGACAGCTCCCCGACTTGTGCGGCCGCGACGCTCGAGACTCGAACTTTACGACGTGAACGGGCCGCAAGTGTCGGGTCGCAAGTGTCAAACCGCAAATGCCGTGGTGCGCAACGGACACTCACCCTAACTCACTTCGTAACGTTTCTCGCATGGAATTGGAGCTGCAATTCCTCCGCTGCTTTTTGGCATACGCCCGCCGGTAGATGACAGACCCCCACGTCGCCACAAGTTTCCTTTATATAATTGTCCAAGTAGCGTTTGTAATCCGCGAACTCGGCATCAGCAATAGCTTCCTCAAAAAAATGTGTCTAAAAAATCGGCAAACGAGTTGTGTCCGTTCAATGGCCTCATTCAGCTCATTTCGCACTTCTTGATCGATTGGAAGCTCGGTATCAGCAACTGTTAGAGGGAATATTCGTGCGATCGTATTTGATATTTCCATTTCGCAGTCTATTGAAGCAATCAGCACCAACCTGCTGCCAAGAAAATGATGGGCGACATGACCAAAATATCGAAGAAACAACGAAAGCCCATCGCTACTGTAAACTTTTCCGGACCAGAAATTCTGTTATGAGCAGGCTGCTCTCTTTTTATTTGTGACAATCTCCCACGCATTTTTCAAATAAAATAAATCTAGACGCGTGTGAAAGTGTATGCGTAAAAAAGGATTGCCCGCTCAAAAGCAGCGAAAAATCGGTGACAAGTGAGGTTTGGGGTAGGCACTCAGATTTTCGAAACGCATGGTTTCGAAACTCATATTTGCTTAGGTTTTCTTAGGTTACCTGAGCCTATGCAAAGCTGTAAATATGAGTTTTCGAAAATATGCCCGCAAATCCAGGTTAAGCCTAAGCAAACTTCCAACCTTCGCAAAAACTCTTTACTCAGCGGATGTAAACTCCACCAATTGCTTTGGCTGTTTTACGTGCCATTTTTTATATCACGCTGATTGAAAATATGATGATTTATCACCACAAACATCCTTCAAAAGAAGAATGAAAAATGAACACAGAATGTGTCGCCCAGAAAAATTCGGTTCTGGATGTCGTGCCACTCCAGGTGCCTGATTTGACCGCCGAGCTCTGGGGCCGAAGCCATTTCTCCGGTGCATTCTTTCTTCCAATCATTGTCCTCCCATACCCACTAAACCAGTCGTTAATCCTTATCGTGTGCTAAAACTAACGAAACGTCCCAAAATGCAAATTATGCCAAGAGGCGGAAACTGACCACGTTGTATGCGGGCATCACATCGTCCGCCAGACCGATATCGAATTCCGAAGGGTTGTGCGGACCAATCAGCCTGAAACCGATGCCAAAAGTGAAAAGGCAACCTGAATTGGGAATTCTCACATCGGCAGTGCCAGGATGTCTAAAATTATTGGGAAGAAAGTTTTTAATGGTCGACCATATTTTTCTACATAAACCAAAACCTGGCCGCTACGTCACTGCCTCTCCTGTTTTTGGGAACGGGGAATTTCGAAGTGAAGATAGCACATCCTGTGCAGAAATTTTTGCTGATTTCGAATCCGAAGCTCTAATCATTAACTTAACAAGCCTAAGACTAACCATAAGCCGAAGCCTAAGCAACTGAACACCTTAATCCTCATCACCCACTTTTTCGCGAAGATCTTCGCCCGGAACCTCTCAATCAGACCGGCTCCGTTTTTCGTCTTCACCATCCAGTCGTCAATTTCCGCTTTTGTCAACATACGCGAATTGCCCCACCAAATATAAAGTACCCAGCCTTTTGTCGCGTAGGTTCGACAGACCCCCGAGGTCCCGCAAGCGAACAACTTTTTTGGGTTTTTATCCTCGACGAGCACCTGTGCAACCCGGCGCACGCTGAAATTAACAAAACGTCGTTCAATGTTTGTCCTCGCGTAATCCTACTATATATAAAAAAATAGTTCCTGTGTGTGTGTGTGTGTGTGCATTTGCATGCAACTTCCGTCAGGTTGTTCCAGTCGTATCTCAAGAAGGGAAGTACTTAGGGGTATGTTCGATACGTCATTCGGTGCGTAATGGCCTGGGAACGGCTGCACGCTTATTAGATTTAACAAAATATGATGTTTTCGACCTTAAAATTAAGTTTTCATGGAAAATCGGACACCCCACTTTGTTAGGATCAAATTAGCATGCACCGAAACTCGCGGTAGCCTATATAAAGGGACGGCAAGAGCATTTTTCATTTTCGTCATCCGAATCCGGGAAAATTATGCAAAGCCAAGAATATCATTGGAGAGAAGACGGGGCCAGGGTTGAAAAGCCGCGAAGCGGTCTTTCAACCCTGGTGCAAATTAATTCTCTACTACAAAATAAACGAAAGTGTACGGGCTGGTCCAAGCCTTCACAGATACTCCAAAATCAAACGCACTTCGTAACGTTTCTTGCCTGGAATGCCAACTGCAAACCCGGAGCTGATTTTTGGCATACGCCCTTTGGCACCTTACACGTATTGGCCGCACCACAGGTTTCTTTTACAAAATCGTCCAAGTAGCGTTTGTAATCCGGGAACTCCGCATCAGCGATAGCTTCCTAAAAAAAATTTGATGGAAAATGGAGCCGACCAGTCGTGTATGGTCCATTGCTTCGTGTAGCCCATCTCGCACCTCTTGATCGATTGGAAGCTCGGTAACAGCAACTGTTAGAGGGAAATACAGTTTCGTCCTGTCTGTGGATGTCTGTGTAAAATGTTTACAAATTTAAAGCAGGGTTCCCTCAATTTTGCGCGTCCCAGGGGGCTAATTTGCATGATTTGAAAAAGATAAGCTTCCTCATTATTGTGAGTTGCCTGCGCGCGTGTGGGCCTGGGATGAGAGACGTCGAAGACCCCATCGATGGAAATGTCGAGTATCCAGGAGGTGCGTATTCCAGCTTCCCAGACCCTCGAAGCGACGTTTGGGCACTGTTTGTTGAGATTTTGGCCATGCGCTTCAGAACTCCACGCAATTATTATAAAACCAAACGACATTTCAAAGCCTACTGCAGCAATCGTCACCAACCTGCCACTGAAAATAGAATTGGCAGCAGCACGAAAATAGCGCGCCAAAAGGCCATGGCGATCGTATTGTCGCGCAACCCGAAACGCTACTATATCGGCGTCTACCGTTTTTATTTGGGAAAAACTCGGCCAACCCAGACATTTTTTCTCAAATAAAAAATACAGCGCTCATGCGTAAAGCCACAGGGTGTCTCAAAAAACGACCCTCCCTATATAGCGGGCCGCAGAAGTGTCCGATTTTGACGATTAAGGTATCTACCGAAAGCTCTTGGCAACGCCACGAAACAAGCACTCTTCACATTTTACCCTAGGTGCCTTGTGAATTCCAGGTCAAGGAATTCTGAACTTCGGAAAGCTCTATCTCGATCGCCCATTAATTCTTGCGCCCTAGGAGGGTGCACTCGAGGTAGAATCCCGTCCCCTATCAGACCATATATCACAGCAAATTTAAAATTTTGTAATAGGGCTTATTTTCCGAATTGATAGATAGACATTTGGATTTTGAGCCTGATGGATACTCGTATATCGGACTTCGGGGATGGCTTGGGTGGAGACCCAAGCTAGGGAAGTTTTTGAAAAGCCCGGAGGCTCGTAAGTCAGGAGCTGGAGAATAGCCGTTACCTCGAAGCAATTTATGAAAACAAGTTAAGGTATGCGGAAAATATTTACATGGCGGCATTCAGATGGCGCAGTTGCCGAGTTGACTTAATGAATAAAACAAGCTAACGTATGGCCTACATTCGTTCCCCATAAACACTCCGATCGGCCGCTCGCTTTCTTGCTGCATAAATGATCGGTTCACGATGCATTTCCGCGACCGATGCTCCAACCATTCCAAATAACATTACTCTGGAGAAGAAGTGAAGAGACTTTTACCAATTTCACGGAGTTAATTGGTTAATGGTACAAAATACCTCACTCGTAAGGGTCGGGTCGTTCCCCGTTCTTGGGATCAGGAAATAAGGTCGTCCAGCAGTACCCTCTTGGCATAACCTGATAAATATTGAAAAGTAGACCTCGTGTTTACCTGGCCATCTGGACACTGAAAGTAGACGTAGATGTGGATCATCCGATTGGCATGGAGCAGGAAGGTCACCTTGCAGTTGTCTGAAAACTTAGAAAATATAGATTGATGAGACGAAAACGGGTTTTTACTGTCTGGCACTGGAAATGGGATTTTCAGAAGCCATCTAAGTTTGAAGCACTCATGCAATTCTGGGGTAACAACACCTACATAAGCACGGCAGCGGCACCTCAGCTTCCTGTGAGCTTGAGTCCTTTGCGACGAGCGTGACGTTGATCTTTCGAGGAGATTTAAAAACTAGTTAGAACGTACTGGGAGTTGCCCATCGACGCATATCCATCCATCCCCGCGTAGCTAAACGGCGTTCATTTTTGTACAACCAATGGCTTTAGACCGCCAGATTATCCGACCTTATATAATTTTGGGGTGTATCTCTGTGTATGTGTCCGGCGCTAGGGAGGGCAACTTTGCATAATTCCAAAAAATACAAATTTCGTCATTCTTGCAAGTTGCACGCGCGAGTGTGGTCGGAGGAAGGAAGGGGTCCGAAGGACCCCAGCTATCGGAAAGTCAAATTTCTCATGCAATGGCCGTATTCCAGCGCCCAGGACCCGCGAAGCGGGTTTTGGGCGCTGGTTCTTGCTAAAATTAAGATAAATTAGTGTCTTTTTTGATTTTTGGTACTGTGTAAGGTTTTTCCTGGATTTTGCAGAGCACAGACCGTAACGTTACGCAACGAAGGATCCTCGGCAGCTAGCAGTAAGGAGATGAGATGAAACAGGAAAAGGTGGAAGAGGTACCTCATTTCAAATGCGAGCACATTGGCCGTGGGTCACGAAAAACAACTATTCCGCCAGCGAACCCCATGTGGAATAAATTTTGTTGACTGTCAGGATCGGAATTTTTTTGGAAAATTACTTCTACGTCATAAAATAAACGAAAAATTCAGCGCAAAAGAAAGTGTGAACGTGCCACCTAAGCCGCTACAAAGCATTTATCGGACAAAATTATAACCAAATCAAACGTCAATAACGCTCAAAAGAACAAAAGAAAATTGATGCACCACGTCGACTCCATAGAGCCCCTTTTGCGCGTGTCAAGCCATTCCAGCTTCCGGACGTGGCCGCCAACTTGCGGGGCTGATATTCCCTGCTGATTGCATGGCATTTCCGCTTTGTCCACCCTGATGGCCCTCTGGAAAAGTATAAAATTTCATGAGGTCATTTAGCTAAAATTATACTGAAATTTCAGAATATCGAATTCTCAGTATCTCGAAAACTTGATGCAGCGTGTTTTAGTGCAATTCCTGAAGCTCTTAATGTTGATCCGACTGGGAAATGTCGCAATTCTGGAAATTTAAGGGCGTCAAAATCAGGAGATTCTGATTTTTAGACTTATTAAAGTTCGCGATTCCGAATTATGAAACTAAATGACTAACCACGATGTAGGCCGGCATGAAGTCGTCGGCGATGCCCATATCCATGTCCTTTTCAAATGGCCCTTTGTTGACAGGTCTGGAAAACGGCGCGTAACTTTGGATAAATCGTAAAAGAACAACGACGTCCTGTAGATCTACCGTCATTAACCCTGACCTACCGCGCAAAGTTTTTCTCGTGAAACTTGTCAAACAGGCCGCTTCCGTCTTGCGTCTTCTCGACCCAGTTGTTGATCTCCGAGGGTAGACGCGAAGGACTTTTTCCCAGCGCGCCCCACCAAAACATCACCACGACGCATCCGACGCGATACGTACGACACACGTGGCCCGGGGCGCAAAATGTCGCAGTCCGAGCCTTCCTGTTTAAGTCGTCGGGGTAAAAGGTGTTGAGCACATGCGCGATGCGGCGAACCCTAAAACCGTGTTTTTTTGATGTCTACGAAGGTTGATCCATTCGTTAGCCTGCCGATTCCTAGCAAATAGCCGACCAATGCCAGAACGCGGCCGTACGCGGCCGTTTGAGCCCCAGCCTATGCTGGACGTGAAAACACGCACAATTTGAAGTTCTGTTTTTTAGATGAGCGCCGTTTTCGCTGACCTGGGGGGCCTAGGGCCACGTAAAGTCTGACTTCTTAGCCCTTTAAAAAATTCTAGCTTCCTAAAACTACCTGATTTCCTTTTGCGCCTCAAATCGTTGCTGCAGCGCCAATCCCATTATTGGGTTATGGTCGGCCGTGGTGCAATTCTTGCTATGCCCTATCGTGTAGCGATTGACCATTATGTACTCGTCTAGGTATGCTGTGTATTCCGCAAATTCTGCATCGGCAATGGCTGCCTAAATTCCTGTCTTTTGAAAACGTTGCTGACCAAGTTTAAACTATCATCTGCGGCTTTCAGATCGGCCTGGACTTTATTTTGTGGATCTCGATCGGCAAGTTGTACTGGACCTTCTAAAAACAGCAGTTTGATTTTTCTCTTTTTCGGAAAAAAATCGTTAGGAAAGAATTAATTGCTCGAAATTAGCGAACCACCTGCCACGTCGATGGTCAGGAAGACCGGAAACAAGAAGATTAACAATACTAGCAGCATCGATCTGGTTTTGGCATAAAAAAAATTGCCTTTAGCGCTGTAAAATGTTCAAAGTTTTTCCCAAATAAAATAGATTTACGCGCGATGGCGTGACCAAAATTTCCCAAAATCGGAAATCGCAAAATACGATGAATCGACATTCTGCAACGTCAAAATTTTAGAAAACGCATTTTGCGCCATGGCGATTTTGAAAACCGGAGCTTTGGCTGCCGGGATTTTGAGTCGATATTTTAATAATCTGACAATTTTCAGCATTCTGTCATTCTGCATAACCGGTTGTTGGTGTCGGGCTTTCGAATTTCGGCATTTTGTCCGCACCTTGGTCTGTAGGAATGCAAATTTGGTTTTTCAGGTATTAAAAATAGTTTTAAGCCTCAAAAGTCACGTAAAAGGCTTGTAACCACTAGTATTCGCAAAATTGAAATGTTGTTCGTCTCATGCATGTTATTTACGTATTCCTAGATCAACTAACTGTTGTGTAATACCTCCTTTAATACATAAATTTACTAGCCAACAGCCGTGTCACCGAGAGTGCATGGGGTAAGGCATATTTACAGAAAAATGGGCGGAAACGGGGGCAACAATTCGGGAATTCGATGTGCAATTTTGGATACAATGGCAATAGCATAGTTGTAGCGAGGTGTTGTGTTCAGTATTTCGTTGGAACCTTGGAAATTAAGGGAAATGGGGGCACCGGGAACATTTTGCGAACCGTACCAAATACAATCAGACAAAAAATTGGAACTTGAAAGAGGGGAAGAGGAAAATAGGAGGAATAAAGCACGGATATGATAGAAATAGGCAGGTTTTTGGTATTGAAAATAGAAGATTATTTTGCTTAAGGCTTTCTATATTTTCTTATCAAAAAAAGACCCAAAAATAAGCTGTTTTTGAGAAACAATTACTTTGCAATTCACTACGTTGCTCTTGAAAATTCATAAAAGATGAAACTTTTTCTGACAAAGACAGCAACATTTTTCTTGGCTCATTTTTCTTTTCAACGAGCTCAAACCCACCAAAATACAGTACCAAAAAAACTGAGATATAGCACGCAGATTACAAAACATCGTAAGTATAAATTGACCAGCATCGCGGAATTTCAAAAATGGAACCAAAATTCGATAGAGCAAAAAAAACTACGCCAGAAATCTAAAAAAGCGATAAAGTACAAGGTGAGACCATTAGGGAAAGCAATAATTATTGCCATACGGTAAGGGGAAAGCCAATTTTAATAGGGGGAGGGAACGATGTGGAACAAGTATCTTTTTGACCCGTTTTCAATTAAAGTTGTAACGTTAACATTATTGGGCTTATTGAAGTCTGTGGTTCAGGCGTTCCATGAACTTCTTGGCGACCTGGGGCCCGGGGAACGGCCAGTCCCACACGTTCTCTAGGGGACCATCCGGGACGTCACTTTCTAGCCAGTTGCACATCCAGAACCACCTGAAATTAGGATTTTAGGTTTTTGTCGACGACTTTACGGGGAGTGGGAAGCCTAAACTTAAGCCTAAGCCTAAGCCTAAGCCTAAGCCTAAGCCTAAGCCTAAGCCTAGGCCTAATCCTAAGCCTAAGCTTAAGCCTGAGTTAAACCTAAGCCTAAGCCTTAGCCTAAACTACGCCGAAGCTAAGCCGAAGCAGCCTAATCTAAGCCTAATCTAAGCTAATCTAAGCCTAAGCTAAGCCTAAGCCTAAGCCTAAGCCTAAGCCTAATCCTTAGCCTAAGCTTAAGCCTGAGTTAAACCTAAGCCTAAGCCTTAGCCTAAACTAAGCCGAAGCTAAGCCGAAGCAGCCTAATCTAAGCCTAATCTAAGCTTAATCTAAGCCTAAGCTAAGCCTAAGCCTAAGCCTAGCCTAAGCCTAAGCCCTAGAAAATCCTAATAAATCGTACCATAACCGGCTCATCGGGGCATGCGGGCGTTTCTCCTTGGGCAGCTCGAACATCTGGTGGTAACCCCAGAAGACGTGCGACGTCAACCAGTACGCTATCAACACGTCCATCGTGTAGTGACCGCCTGGAAATGGATAAGCATCTACTAGGAAACGATACCTAGACCTCAAAACAATAATTCAACTTAGTACTCGTATAAAAAGTGAGTCAATTACATACCTGACACCACCAGGGCGGCAATCCCCAAGAAGGTGATGGGAGCCGCGATATACCTATAATTTTTCTTTTTAGGGTTTGAGGAGGCTTAGGAAGCAGTTAGGCTCCCGCTCCGGCTTCAAGACATTCAACACTCACCTCAGAATGACGAGTCCCCGTGGGGTATACTGTAGCTGCACAAAGTACATAATCGTCAGCACCACGGTATGCCCGCTGAACATCAGATCCCCGCAGAGGATCTTGTCCTGCCCGGAGGTGAGCCCGAGCGTCACCACGTAGGTCAGAAATCTGGAAAAAATGGAGATTGATTTTCTAGCTATAAAATTCATACCTCGTGGCAATTTCCATACCGCTCAACGCTGTTCGATTCACTTGCGGTTGGCAGATTTGGTCCCTGAAAGGAAAAAGTAGACCGTGGGTGAGCAAGAGGGCGGCAGGCAGAGAGAGAGAGAGAGAGTGAGAGAGAGAGAGAGAGCGAGAGAGAAAAAGAGCGGGAGAGGGAGAGAAGGCGGGAGAATGAGATACCTACAAACCCTTACCTATTATGGAAAGACGGTGGCAAGTAAGTGACGCCGAGAATCACCGCACGAAGCCCGTACAATATTGCTCCGAGCACGAACATTCGTCGGAGAACGACGACTCGATCTCGGTGAAGCAACACTACGGTGAAGGCCATCACAGAGCTAAAAAATAAAGTTTATATCTTATTAAAATATTTATAGATACCGGTTTTTACAGTACTGTGCAGTAATTTACAGCTTTTTCCAGAATTCTGTACCTTAAAACCCGAAATTACATACCTGACTGTCGACAGCACATCACCAAAAGACCAGGCCCACCGTTGCTGTGGTATTGCAAGGAATACAATATCCGGCAACGGCTCCCTGGGCACTATATCGTGTATCACCGTCAACAGGAAGAAGTTCATGAAGGCGGCTAACTGAAAAATACGTATTCAGTGGTAATTTTTGGTTCAGTCTAAAAACTAATAAAAATAGGTTCACGATGATTTCTAACGCTTACCGTTAAACACAAAAATGCGATGACGGTCTTCAGCCCTTCCGACTGCCTGCCTTCCATCTGAAATCTCTGAATTTACACTAAAGGGTCTTCCAAGTATAGTTAAATCCGAATTTTTTGGGATAATAAATACCTTCAGAATTTGACGCTCCACCACAAAAAAATTTAGAAGGATATTTCACTATTTTCAAGGGAGCGTCAAGGTATTTTCCGAGATTGGTAGAACAGATTCTCGATTTTGAAAGCTATTTTCGAGCATCTCTTGGGGATTTCGAGCGAGAGAGAGGGAGAGCGAGTGAATGACATAGAGAGAAAGAGAGCTAGAGAGAGAGAGGGAAAGAGAGCGAGATCGTGAGATGGAGAGATGGCGTAATTCTCATCAAATCCCCTATTGACGATAAAGCATTCAAAAGGAGGTATGAAAATAACGCTAAAAATTCTAGAAAACTACAGTAAAAAGCCCAGAACAGATGTAGCTTGATAAAATTTTTTGACTATAATTATTTGAGCAGAAAAATGACCAAAACCAAACCCTGAAAATTGGAGGATCACGCCCGCGCATCGAACGGTAACATTGGAATGGCCAATAAAATACGGGCCACTATGAGAGGCGGTGAAAATAATATCGGGTAGGGAGGATGGACAGGCCAGGGCATCGATTTTGCATTTTGGAATTTATTCGTGGAAGGCAGCATTTTTGGCCTTGTGATTTCTAAAAGCTAGTAACTGATTTTTGGATTGATAGAAAGAGTGCGAGAGAGCGAGAGAGAGAGCGAGAAAGAGAGAGAGAGAGAGAGAGACAGAGAGAGAAAGCTTACTTGTTTCTCCATCCTATGCTCCGGATCGCTGGGGTCTATCGTAATGGAAATGCCACCCCCGTTCACCGCTACCATCGACGCTTCCGATGAGCTGGCGCGGACCTGGAATTAAGTGGGTATTCGAAAAATAAAAAAACAGGATTAAAACCAATTATAGATGTAGTATTTAATAGAATTATTTTTAAGAAGGATAGAATGATGAATCGGTTACGTACCGCTTAAGACATCACTCATTTAGCCAAAAACAATGTTTAATATTAATTCCATCTAGAATTAAGTAAATAAAAACAACAATAAAAAATTAATTTTATTTTTGCTATGCAGTACGTGGTTTGGATAATATCAGAAATGTTATAACAATAAAGTATCACATCAACAACACGGCGATTTCCTCATATGGGGCGGGACGCCGAGAGGCGTCCGGCCCCCTCGGGACGGGATGGTAAACAACTCGTGTATCTGCGGCCTACTATGCACTTTCCAAAGGCATAGGGATTTATTTCTGGGCCCTCGAAGTCTATGCGCTGCTGTACTTTCTAAGCTACGCTATTCCACAATTTTACAACGAATTTCTTAGTTAAAGATGATTTTACGCCACCAAATTTTTTGTTTGTTAGTTTTAAATTTTTTGATAAATTTTGAGTTCTCGATAAAACCACAAATAATAGCGAATAATCAATCAAAATTTATAATTCTTTCTTTTTCACATTTGCATGTGTGTTTGAATTGGTAACACCGATATTGAGGAACAAATCTTATGATTTTTTGCTATTTCTAGTAAGAGAAATGCGGAAGAAATATAAGAAATGCTGTCGAGTGAATATGAAGGGATGAGGAGGGGAACGGGGGCGCCATATAATATTCATTACGCAGCGGTTCGATACCGAAAAAGAGGAAAGACTTATATTTGTCGGCATACTCTTTTTTGAACATTTTTAGCAACATCATGGTTTTTGATATATTTAGGGGTAGAAAAAGTTCGGTAATCCCTGAGCACGAACCTGTAGCTCCTGTGTGTCGGGGCCGCCGATAAAGTCGGCATCGGTCCGCAAGGGCATCGTGGAGTCGGACTGATCCCGGCGGTGGCCGCCCATCCGACCCTCTAAACAGGTCGGATCTTCATTTTGCCTCTTCCTCCGCCTAGCGCACGTACAGAAGAAAGAGAGAGAGAGAGAGAGAGAGAGAGAGAGAGAGTGAGAGAGAGAGAGACAGAGAACGCGAGAGAGTGAGAGAGAGAAAGCGCAAGTTACAGAGAGAGAAGCGCTGAGCATGAGATCGACTCCGGAAGGAAGGGCGAGAATGAGGACGTGAGCATGAGATCAGTAGTGAAGGAGATAGTGAAAAAGAAAGAGAGAAGGAAAGATCTTCACATCATCCCCCCCTCTTCTTCCTCTTGTCGAAATCGCAGCTGATATCAATGCGAGCACGACAATTTGAGCGCGAGGATTTGCGCGGCGCGCGCGAGAGTGAAAATTGCTAATTCGTGGGATTTATGAGATGCGAGTTAATGGGAAATGTAATTTAAAGGGGGTTGACAAGTCAATTTCCATAGATTTTCGCCGTTTTTAGGCTTTCACATCCCTTTAGAGGATTTGAAAAAGATACAGTTTTTACAAAGTCACTTTTTCTAATCAATGCCCATCGCCGCTATCAAACTCGGCAATTCAGGCGGGCTGATTGCCGGCGCCGAATGGTGACCAAAAATATAAACAATTTGCCGATTCACGCCGTTTTTTGAAGCCCCACTTTGGTCATGACCAAGGTGGGAGAGACGGGGCACAATATAGGAAATAATGGAACGAAATGTAGGACAAAAACTTTATTTTACTTTCGCAAAAAGGCCAGACTTGAACCACGATAAAAAAAGACCTTCGGGATCAATCGGTTGCGCCACGAAATTCTCAACGGCGAATCGGTTGACATGGAAGAAAATAGAGTAGGAATAGCAAAAATTCAAAATGTGTTAAAAGGAAAATGGAAAATGGATCGCACCATGAAGTTGCCGCTGAAAAATTGCCAAAAAATAACCAAAATAGGCCAAGCACTAACATTACGCTAAAAAGACGAAAAACAGACAAATTACGACAACTAATTTGAAACCATGATCCTTCAAAAATGAGAGTAAAAAGATCCTTCAAACAACTAAATACATAGAATTTGAGAAAATTTATGTAATAAATTGCCATTTTCATGGAAAAGAGTCCAAACACGACCGATTACGACACATAATTCGAAATTTGAACAACTAGAGTCGTGGTCTGATCCAATTTCTAACCCCCCTTTCCATTCAAATGCTATGCGAAAACAGCCGGTTCTTTTTGTCCCCGTTTACGGGGGGTTATGTGGTTTGGCTGCTGCGAAAAGAACAGATGTCAAAAACAACATCTGGTTCGAGTTTTGTTAAGGGAATGTAACGATTTTTGAAAATCAAGATTTAGGTATCGATTTAATCGTGATAACGGTGCATTTTACTACTAAGAAAAATTTAATGTTGAAACAAAAGCTCTTAATAATTGTCGAAATTGCTAATTCGAAACCTTCATGATGAAAAGAAAAGAACAGTTTTTAGTATTCAGAAAAGTGCCCCCCCTTGGAATTTTTCCAAAAATTCCTCAACTTTCTTGTTTACTCCCCCTGGATATCTTTTTCGGGTTTTTTAGGCGAAAAATGCGAGAAAATGACGCAGTTTTGGCTCGAGAGCCGGGGGGCTGGCTTGCAGAAAGCCGTTAGGATCATGTGACGGTTGAAGAAAGGTCGGCAAAATATTTTCACGTTTTTTAATTAATTTTCTAGGTAGTCCTAAGTAAAATATAGAAAACCGAAAATTAGTAAAAATCATTAAAGACGGAATACTGAGAAAAAATTATATTAATGAAGAAAAGACGAGAAAAAAACACAAGTGAAATCTATGTAATAAAGAGGTATCCGAATATAAGCTTCTCCTGAGTTTTTAATACAACAATAAAGCGTCTATAACTAACGGAACCAATAGAATGCCCTAAGACTACGGGCGGGGCCTAAAAACAGTGGAGTGCCGGCCATGTGTGTGATAAGGAGTCCAAAAAACATGGGCCGCCCGCCGGTGGCTAATGAAATCGGCCGTGACCGGGACAGATGAGTCACCGGTGAGTTTTCACTACTGCTACCGGAAAACAGCCGGAAGGGAAAGCGGTCTCTATCAATTGTCCGGAACGGGTCGGAAGTGTAAGAGTATTTGGGCGGAAGTGACGGCTAATTAAGGGAGATCAAAAATTTTTTAATTCTTAAAAAATGGGCTCTCTTTTGCGAAATCGGTAGCAATCAGCCGAAGTATGATTTTTAAGGTGGCAGGCTAGCAAAGATCCTTGCGGAATCAATGACTATGGCTTGGAAAGGATCAAATCTCAGAATCACTAAAAGCCGGCAAGCTACATATCTTTACTACAAACCTTCATGTTAGCGCAATAATCCTTGCGAAATTTTTCGCCTGGAAATTTTGGACTTAGCTGTCGTCATCGAATAAAAGGAAGGGCAAGCTAGAAGAGATCATTCTCGATTATAATACTGGGAATAACAAAAATAATGCTTATTTCGACAAGACGGTCGGCCAAGGAACTATCAAGTCATTTTTTGAGATGAAGAATGACGCAATATCTCAAAAAAAACCCCGTAGGAATCTAGAAGTTGAAATGTCTGATTTAGATAGCGTAATCCAATAAACGGCCAAACAAAAATTATGACAAACCATTGAAAAGCGATCTACGACATGATACAGAATTTCTAAAAATTAGAAAATGACACAATCCCGAAAATCTATAGAAATTGGTTTAAACATTGCAATTATGCAAATTGAAGGTTACTTATCTCAATACAATCAGAAAAAGCAGCACTATCCTTCAAAAGTTGTTTATGACCCGAAAACGTGCTGTGCACCTTGGCAAAAATCACACACATCTGGCGAGGTGGCGCGCACACCTGGTCGTCTCGAGTATTTGGGCCGCCGGAATTTCGTGGTGCACCCATGTGCTTGTAATGTTTGCACACTACCACAATTGCGCCACAACACTACAGGGGAATGAGGATTGGATGAGGTGGGGGCTAAGGTTACTTGGGAATTTAGGTGGAGGGCTGTTACCGTAATACCTACAGTTAGAGAAAGAGAGGAGAGAGAGAGAGTGAGAGAGCGAGAGAGCGAGAGAGAGATGGGTGTTCAAGCTAAAATCTGGGGCTATCAGAATGCTCTAATTTTTTAAGGGAGCGCGACAGCTTCAGGGAAGCGACTGGAGACAACTGGAGGGAAAGGGAGTGGCAGAGAGAGAGAGGAAGTGGGAGAGCGAGAGTGAGCCAGAGAGGGCAAGAGTGCGAGAAGAAAGAGTCGGTGAGCGAGATAGCGAGAGAGAGAGACAGAATGAGAACGCGCGTGAGAGAGACAAGGAAAAAGAGAGCACCAAAAAAGTCGAAAGTAAGTTTTTACGATTTTCTCAATAGGTATCGCTAGTGATTCATTTTTCTCTAAACATTTCCAGGCCACAACGTTTGGTAGGTGGTATTTGCGATCAAAAATAAACTTTCCGCCTACAATTTCTGTTCAAGTCAGCTTCAAGGAAAACTGTGGGTTTGAAAATAGGGAAAATCTAGTCACCAGAATTTGTAGTCTGGCAAGAAAGGAACAGCTTGTCTCAAAAATCAAAACCAAAAACAAAAATAAATCAATAACGCTGTTTTTCGACTAGTTTCTAGCTTTCCCAGACCAAAAAACCACGAAAAGCAACTTCCGCATAAATTCCCAGTCGCTCCTGATTTTCGCAATGCTGAGATAGGCATTTCCAAGAAATCGCCGCAAGCGCGTGGCCCACAAAAAACTAATCAGACCGGATGTGGCGGGATTTTTTGCACGAAACGCCTTCATGGCCTCAGCTTCTCCGCTTCATTTCTGATAGAATGGCAGACCGAGCGGGAGGAAATTTTCTCATTAAGACGACGGCCAGGCCAACGAGAATGTGGGCTGATGCGGCAAAAATTAAAAAGGGTGG